CAGGTTGACTGTGAGCTGTGTGAAGAAGAACTTCCTTTTATTTGTTTTAAACCTGCTGCCCATTAATTTCATTTGGTGGCCTCTAGTTCTTATATTATGGGAACAAGTAAATAACTTTTCCTTATTCACTTTCTCCACACCACTCATGATTTTAAATACCTTTGTCATATCCCCCCTTAGTCTCCTTTTTTCCAAGCTGAAAAGTCCTAGCCTCTTTAATCTCTCCTCATTTGGGACCCGTTCCAAACCCCTAATCATTTTAGTTGCCCTTTTCTGAACCTTTTCTAATGCCAGTATATCTTTTTTGAGATGAGGGGACCACATCTGTACGCGGTATTCAAGATGTGGGCGTACCATGGATTTCTATAAGGGCAATAAGATATTCTTATTCTCTATCCCTTTTTAATGATTCCTAACATCCCATTTGCTTTTTTACTGCCGCTGCACACTGCGTGGACGTCTTCAGAGAACTATCCACGATGACTCCAAGATCTTTCTCCTGATTTGTTGTAGCTAAATTAGCCCCCATAGTATTTAAGGTAGAGTTGGGGTTATTTTTTCCAATATGCATTACTTTACATTTATCCACATTAAATTTCATTTGCCATTTTGTTGCCCAATCCCTTAGTTTTGTGAGATCTTTTTGAAGTTCTTCACAGTCTGCTTTGGTCTTAACTATCTTGAGCAGTTTAGTATCATCTGCAGACTTTGCCACCTCACTGTTTACACCTTTCTCCAGATCATTTATGACCTGTGAAGACTTCAGTGAAGACTCCAAGACGCTACTGGGAGGGGTTCTCCTGTCAGGGAGGTACTACACCTCCCCAAGAGGTAGTAGTTAGGTCAACAGGGGAACTCTCCCATTAACCTAGCATTGTCTACACAGGGGGTTAGGTTGGATTTTCAACACCCCTGAGCGAAGTAGTTATACTGACCTAATTTCCTAGTTAACATGAGGGCCTAGTTTATTTCTATTGATAGAAAAAGGGCTGGATGGGAAGTGGTTTGAGAACCACTAACCTAATTAATGTGTCATGACTCATACAGGCGCACAGAATTTATATTACTTTTTTTAGGTTGATGAGTTAGATATACATATTAATGAACTTTACATTAATTCCTTCTTTCTGAATTTAGCTGAATAGGGGGCAGAGGAATGTCAGGAGTGGGGGGGATCTTTGACAAAAATGAATATAGTATATGTTATGGAACAGCAAAAGAGAAATAAACTCTGTCCTTATATATAAGTAAATTCATATGTTTATGTAGTACTAAAAGAACAGATGACATATTCACAAATAAGTATGAAATAACTAATCAATGTTAGCTAACAGGTAATCAACATACTCAAGGAGGACAGTGTTATATAACTCCCGTAATTAAATAATTAACAAAAAATTAAGTGTTGAAAGTATTTTCAGTATTCCAAAATTGACCCAATAATTACAGAGTTTCTATGCAAAAATGTGTATCAATCATTCACATAGGCGCTGACCTCTTCAATTCTTGGGGAGGTGCCCCACCCCCACTCCACCCCTTCCCCCAAGGATCCCCCCCGCCTCTTTCTGCCCCTGTTCCTCCCCCGCAGTGCCTCCTGCATGCTGCTAAACAGCTGCTTGCGGCAGGGCGGGAGGTGCTGGGAAGGAGGGGGAGGCGCTGATCGGTGGGGCTGCCAGGAGTGCGAGGCCCTGGGTGGATGGGGGAGGTGCTAATCCATGGGGCTGCTGGTGGGTGCTGAGTGAGCAGCCACTATTTCATTTCTGTGGGCGCTCCAGCCCTGGAGCACCCACCGAGTCGGCGCCTATGATCATTCATATAAGCAATAGTGTCACAATCCAAACAAAACAGGATTGGTTTAGCCTTTTGCAAGAAGCAGCACTTCCCTGATCTCGGCTCTTCCCTAGCCGAGACTCCCCCACTGCCCCGCTTCTGCTGCTCTAGACCCCACCTCCATCTCCTCCTTATCCCCTATCTCTCTGCATCCCATTCCCCTGCAACCACTTAATCTTTCCTGCTCGCCGGTGTACATCGGTCACAGAGTCTCTCAAGCTCCTCACAGTCCCTGTGTCCTGTCTGGCCCCCTGACTGACAGACATTTTGCCCATGGGCATGTGGCTTCAGTCTCATTGAAAACAATGGAAGGTGGCTATCAGTTTTATTAAGGACAGCCTCTCTTCCACATGCAGATAGGCTGTAAGGAAATGGGAGGCCATCCTGCTGACTTCAGCCACATTGACAGTAACAAGTGATAGTGGCCACTTTGAAGAAGGCAAAAATTTTGAGCTGATAGCCTTTCATCATGAAACACTTCAAAAATTGCGAGTCATGATAAATCACAAGAGTTTGCAATACTGGCTATGGGATATCCTGAGGTGGGGCTCCTCAGTCTCGCCTGTTGAAGTAGTTCCACCACGTATAAATAATTATTGGAGCAGGGGACTGAGTCTTCCACTTCTGTACCCTAACCACCAGGCTACAGAGCCATTGTCACCTGTTTGCTTGTTCTCTGGCCTAGTGACTCTTTAATAGATTATTTAAATGTACAGTGGAACAACTTCCACAGGAGAGATTGAGGGAACTCCTGTCCCGTAGCTCTGTGGTTGGAGCATTCACCTGAGCAATGGGAGATCCCTGCTCAAATCTTTTCTCCCTTGTAGTAGAGAGGGGGAAACTGAATCTGGCTCTCCCCCATCCCAACTAAGTTTGCCAATTATTGGGCTACAAGCTGGGCATCTGCTCTGCTGGCTGTTTTGTGTGGAATGAGGCAGGTGCCTAACTCTGTCTCACAAGTAATGACTTCGATGCCTAAGCTGCGTGACTCCTAAAAAGGGCTCCCAGCTGTGGATATCCAGCAGAGATAAGCACCTCCCTACAGCCTGGAGTGAAGTGGCTACCGCCAGGAGAAGGGCGGGGCTTCGGACACACCATTCTTGTCAGCATCTCCCAGCTTAGGTGGCTCTCAGCCTAGCACGTTTGCTTTTGTGGATAGTATTTTTGATACCCATCTCTCCCCATTCATTGTATGGGAGCTTAGGCTCAGACTTCGTGGATTGCAGTGTTGTTTCTGTGATTTTCTAGGAACCTAAAAGTTAGGTATTTAAAGGCTCAGCATCACAGCACCTAAGCCCTTTTGTGGATCTGGGCTTTTGTCCCTATCTTATGCTAAATGCAAGACAAATTCATCCTGGTATAACTCCAATTTGTAGCATAATGGACTGAATTCTATTGAGTTACTCTAAGGATGAATATGGTCCATTTTTCTTAGAAACACCTAAACCTCATCAAAAGACATAAGGCTTGCCTAGGTCAGTTGAACTCACATGGTGACTTTAAACTAATTTAGTTAAACTGGTGCAAAAGGCTTTATGGACACTAGGGGTGCCAACTTTCTAATTGCACAAAACCAAACACCCCTGCCCCATCCCTTCCCCGAGGCCCTGCCCCGTCCCTTCTCCAAGGCCCCACTCCCGCTCACTCTATCCCCCTTCTGTCCATCGCTCGCTCTCTCCCACCCTCGCTCACTTTCACCGGGCTGGGGTAGGGAGTGGGGTGTGGGAGGGGGCTCAGGACTGGGGAAGGGGGTTGGGCTGTTGGCGTGGGGTGCAGGAGGGAACTCCAGGCTGGGGCAAAGGGTTGGGGTGTGGGAGGGGGTTTGGTACAGGGTCCCGGCAGCGTTTACTGCGGCTCCCAGGAAGCAGCCGCCAAGTCCCTGCAGCCCCCTAGGCGCATGGGTGGCCAGGGAGGCTCCATATACTGCCCTTGTGCCTGCAGGCACTGCCCCTGCAGTTCCCATTGGTCATGGTTCCCAGCCAATGGGAGCTGCGGAGCCACCCATTTGCCTAGGGGCTGCAAGGACCTGGTGGCTGCTTCTGGGAGCTGCATGGAGCTAAGGCAGGCAGGGAGTCTGCCTTAGCCCCGGGCCCTCACTGCAGCAGGGTCCCTTTTCGACTGGGCATTTCGGTCAAAAACCGGATGCCTGGCAACCCTAATGGAAACTTATTTCAGTTTAAACTAAACTGAGATAAACATATTTTAAGTAGATTATGAACAAGTCTAAGATGAACTGAAATAAACCACTTTTAATTCAAATTGAGTGTTCACACACAGGTTTGCAACAGTTTAACTAAATTGGTTTAAAAGCCAATTTAGGTTCAACTCAAACAACTTTCTCTTGTATACAAGGCCTTTGTAAAGTTTACCTGTATGTCCTGAAAATTTTGACAAAAATAAGGCTATTGTACTAATAGTTTGCATTGATATATTTTATTCAAATACTTTGAAAGTGGTTTATTAATCTTAATTAAATAAAAGCTTCTCCAAATCTCAGAGGAAGGATAGTCCAGTCCTTGGGGTGCTACCTGGGAAGCTGAGAGACCCAAGTTTTAATTTTCAGCTCTCACAGATTTCTTGTGTGACCGTAATCACTCTGTGCCTCGGTTTTCCCAACCATAAAATGGGGGTACTGTAAGGGTACTTCAAGGCTAAACACATTATAGATTATGAGACACTATGATAAAGGGGGGACACACACGCAGATCCACTTCCTTTGTTAGGCTCTCACCCTGCAAACCTTTAGGCACTTGCTGACCTTTACGTAGGTGAGCAGATTACAGGCGAAAGTGCAGGCAGCAAAGCTAATGGAGTGTGTTACCGCAAGGGCAAGTGTGACACCCCCCCCCCTTGTCCTTCCCGTGTCCAGGCGGGCATGGCCGCTGCTCGGAGGAAGCCCTGGGCGCTGGACGTTTCCCCCTGCGAGCCCAGTGGGAGCGCAGCGAACCAGGCGCCGCTGCAGCACCAAGAGCATCCAGCAGCGCAGCCCTGGGCGGCCCGGCCCGGCCGCGGGCCCCGCTCGGCTCCCCCCGACTCCGCCCGGGGCGCGGCCGGCGCTGGGACAGAGCCCCCGGCCCCGCCCCTTCCTGCCGCTCGGGCTGTAGCTACATCGCTCCCTCCCTGTCCCCTGCACAGGCGGCCCGGCTGCTGTAGCTACACCCGGCGCGGGCTGTGCCGCGGCGGCTGCAGCTCCGCCCTCGGGGCGGGGGAGCCGCTTGGCCCGCCCCCCGGAGCCTGCAGCCTGGCCTGCCCCGCGCGGAGCTCTCGCCGCCCCGGGGGTGGTGGCGCGGCGCGGCGCGAGCATGCTGCAAGCCCGGCGGGCCGCTGCCTCCCGCTGCCTGCGCTCCGGGGCCCGGGGAGATCTCCCCGTGGCAGCCGGCCGAGGGGCTGGTGCGGAGGCCGGGCTGGTGCGGAGCCGGGCCTCCCCGGCGAGGCGCTGCTCTGGCGTCGGGAGGAAGTGGATCAGGCCCACGGGCCGGGATACCGGGATCCAGACCTACAACAGCCTGAGCAGAAGCAGAGAGCCCTTAATACTGGCCAATGCAGGAGTGGCGACCTGGTAGCGATTTAAATAGCATTAATCAGTGGCCAGCCCAATACAAAATAAAAGGTTATACTCTGCAGCCTTCTAGAAATAATGCTGCTGGTGAGATGGGGGGGGAGGGGTCCTGTCAATGTTCCCTTGCTTTTCAACTGATAGCAAAGGGATCCATCCTGCACAGCTAATCACCTTCCTGTGGCAGTGTTCAGTTTGGTTAATGTATCTGTTTTTAGTTGTCCATAGCAGCAGGTAATACGTCAAACAGCTTTTGACTATTTTATTATTTGTTCTTCACTAGATCTTCCCTTTGTTCACAGGTATAGCTGTGGGCCAACAGTATACGATCATGCGCACCTTGGGCATGCTTGGTGAGTTGTTTTAAAATTATAGGAGGAAGACTGCATTAATGTTTTATGATGTCAGGTGACTGACTGCAAGGTAAACACCAGCAGCTGGTCTGTGTCAGCTGGTTCAGGGACTCGCAGGGGGTCCCAGAACTGGGCACCAGCCTGAGTCCAAATGTCTACACCGCAGTTAAAGAGCCCTATAGCCTGAGCCCCACGAGCCCACGTCCCCTGACATGGGCCTGTCACAGGTTTTTAATAGACAAACCTCTTGTGTCTAGTAGCTCAGGACAGCCAAAAACCTGAGGTGGATGAATGAAACGTAATTGCTATCCAAAGGACAAGCTGCTGTTCTTCACTTAAGAAAGACTGTGCCTCTTACCAGAGACTGAAAATGAAAGCTAGCCTCATGCAATTGTTTCCTGGTGAAATCTATTCAACAGTGAAACAAATGGCTTATTTTGGTTGAGAGGAGCTGCTTGGGAACTGCCCCATCCTGTTAATTTGCTAAATTCTTCCTCTGGGAGTTGGACTTCAGGACATTTCTAATCCTGTAACGTAATCAGCATTCAGCATGACCTTGAGAAATTAGAGAATTGGTCTGAAATCAACAAGGACAAGTGCAAAGTACTACAGTAAGGGTATGTCTACACTTAAAATGCGACAGCCGCATCACTTCTGTTTAGACACACCCTACACTGACTGGAGGTGTTCTCCAGTTGGCGTCGCTAATCCACCTCCCCAAGAGGCGGCACCTAAATCAAGGAAAGAATTCTTCTATTGACCTAACACTGTCTACGTGGAGGGTTAGGTCTTCTTAACTGTGTTGTACAGGGGTGTGGATTTTTCACACCACTGAGTGACATAGTTAAACCAATTTAATTTTCTAGTGTAGACAAGAAGGAAGAAAAAAAAATCAAATGTACAACTACAAACTGAGGAATAGCTGGCTAGGTGGTTGTACTGCTGAAAAGGATCCGGGGGTTATAGAAGATCAGAAATTGAACATGAATCTACAATATGATGCAGTTGTGAGAAAGGCCAATATTCTGTGGTGCGTTAACAGGAGAGTCATATGTAAGACGCAGGAGGTAACTGACCTTCTCTACTTGGCACTGGTGAGGGCCCCGCTGGAGTTCTGTGTCCAATTCTGGGCACCACACTTTAGGGACGATGTGGGCAAACTGGAGAGAGTCTAGAGGAGATCAGCAAAAATGATAAAAGGTTGAGAAAACTTGACGTAGGAGAAAAGGTTAAAAAAATTGGGCATGTTTCATCTTGGGAAAAGAAAACTGAGGGGGGACCTGATAAGTCTTCAAATATGTTTATAAAGAGGATGGTAATCTATTGTTGCCCCCTGAAGGCAGGGAAAGAAGTAATGAGCTTTATCTGCAGTAAGGGAGATTCAAGTTGGATGTTAGGAGAAGCTTTGTAACTGTAAGAGTAATTAAGTTCTGGAATAGACTTCCTTCCAGCTCTATACTTCTATGGTTGTATGCTCTTCAGAGTGGAGCTGGGTGTACAGCTGCAACTTGGTAGCATTTACCGTACAAAGAAACTGAAGGAGAAGATCTGTTGTCTGACCTAGTGCTAAAATAGACATATACTAGTTAATACATCCAAAGTTTTCAAGTTCTGATCAGTTTGGCAGTTTGTCTCTATGGAGGGGAAAAATTTTTTTGTACATATTTTCATTTATTTATTAGGACAGTATGAATTATTTTGGATCATACCTGCAGAATAACAAGGGTGCCACCAGACTCCTTGCTGTTTTTGTGGATACAGGCTAACACGGCTACCCCCGATACGTGATACCTGCAGAATGTGACTGTTACACATAATACATTAACTTTAATTTGCTAGACAGTTCCATATCAATCTGTTTTAAACATTTTGGAAGAAGAGCAGCTGATATGCCACAAGTAATTTGGATTTTAAAAAAATGAATAATTTTGCCAATTGTTTATTAAATTAACTTTAAATGCTTAAGAATATACTGCCTGAAGTACGTTTACTAAATTCCTGTGTGCAGACAAGTTAAAGACTGTTAGATCTGTATAAGCAGCTCTTTTGATCACATTACATATGAACATAGGCTGCAAGAATGATTTCTTCCTTTCATTTGGCTTGGTTACTATGTCAGCAATTAGAAAAAACAGTACGGGGCTGTTAGCGTGGTAAAGGGACATTTTAGGGTTGGTAGGCTCAAAAATTGTCTTTTTTTCTTTTTTGCTTTAAATTGTTTGAAAATTCTGTGTGACTTATTTTTTCCTCCCCATAAAAAATGTTTCAATGCCTTTTTGTTTTATAAAACCAAAGCACACAAACCTGCCAACACTTCAAAATTCATTAACAGTTTTATAGTAATAAACCAGTTTGTGTGAGTAGGATTGGAAGATCGGGGGTAATTGTAAAGGAAGCATTTCATCTTCTTTTTTTTTTAAATTGATGTAAGGCATGTGATGACTGTTAGTTCGTCAGCCAGAGAGACTCTAAGGTCCTTGAGTTACCAGTCCTGCAACTGTATGATAGTCAAAACTCCTGCTGACTAGGAAGTTTTGCTTTCATCTGTACTGCAGGAGAAGAATATGTATAGCTTGGACAGGAACTGTGGAAATGATCTAAAATTTCCTCGACAACTTGTTTCAGTTTTGGAGTGGGGTTACCTCCACTGGTGGCGAGAGGGTAGTTTATTGTATGGTTACATTCAATCTAGGGCTTTCCTGTGAGAGAGATCAATGTAAACAATAGTATGATGTGCAGGTATGGCAGAAATAACTTTGAAAAATACCTTCACCATGTTAAAGAAAGAATGCTACTAGCGTGGCTAGAAACTGGGTGTGCTGAACATCTCCAGCTCCCACTGAAGACAGTGGAAGTTTCAAGTGCTCAGCAGCTGTTATGGTTCATGCCAATGATACTTAAAATCATAAGTGCTGGAACTCGGGGTGCTGTTGTACCCCCTGGCTGGAAGTAGTAATAACAACCCAAATACATGGTTTCTTCCTTCCGTACCTCCATTATAAAAATTGTTCCAGCACCACTGCTTAAAATAAAGAGTGTATTGCATCTTACTCCATCTCTGAGGAAGGATGTCTTTCAGGTCATGGTTAGCGGTATGAATGTCAAATACCACTTAATATTGTAAATATTTCTTCTTAGCTTATGCTGCCTCATTGACTTTGACTGTGTTCTTTCTCTGAACCCATTGTGTTCCATTTTCTGCTGTGGCAGGAACTGTGAGAGGAGAATTAGAATATTTATTTCTATGTATCTCTTGTAGAAATGCAGGTTTTGAAATACTAAGTGCCCAGACATAGAACTGGCAACCTCTCCTTTTTGCACTCTCAGTACTTATGTGTTGCTGTATTCTTTTTGTGTGTTTATTGTTGTAGTTTTCCACCTTTTCTGTAACTTTCTAACAGGGCTTTATTAATCTGGATGCTAATAAAGGTCAGAAAATCTGGAAACCATACTTGAATTATTTTAATTAATACCTAATATGCAGTATGATGATTTTTTAACTTCCAAATAACCCCTATTTTTAGTTCTACAAATTGGTGGGGGAGAGGGCTGACACTGTTCACTTTGGAAGAATAGCTTAAAACGTCATTGTTCAAGAAAATTATTAAACTTGCTATATCAATAAACTTCTTTACTCCACAAGTACCTCATTCTAGGCTCTTCTGTCAAGTGTTTTTTCCTCTGGGGTAGTGGCTCTCCACCTCTTCCATGTTAATCCCACATTACAACACAAAGTTTTAGAACCATTCTCCCATCTAGCTGTAACAAATGGGAGTGTCATTGCACACCTCTGAAACCTGTTTGGACCTCGCAGGTTGGGAACCATGCTCTCTGTTTTGAGAGTAGGGAGGTAAGTGTCATCTGAATGCAAATAACAAAAGGAAATATCTAGTAAATGGCCTGCGAGAAGGAAACCCATAATTTTCCAGAAAGTTTTATTTAAATGTAGCATCTTGTGTGCCAGTACCTTAGCATGGGTGAGTATATTCTTTTAGTTCAGTGGAATACCAAAATATACACTATAGTAGCTCATTTCTAACTTAATATCCCATATAACTTTTGCATAGTGAATTATATTTGGATCTCAGGGTTGAAACTGTTACTGTTTCTGTTCTTACTATTATCCCAGTTCCTTTTTACCCCCAATATCTTTTTCTGCATGTATGTCACTCTTTTAGTACAAACCCTAAATAGTCAGGCTTTGTACTGGAAACTAAATGGAGGCAGGATGTTTAATATTCATGGACTTTGTTAAAACAATGCACAACTAATTTACTGATTTACTACACAACTAATGCACAAATTCTGTGGGCTGGAATAGCAGGAACCAACACAATGTGTCCCCAGTTAGGGGTTTGGGAGTCTCTGGATCTGTATATGTACTTCCTCGTGGCCCTTCTCTTTTCCACCACAACTTATTCAGAGATGGTGAGGAGGCAATTCTGCGTGTCTGCTCTGCTCATTCATCTCTCCCTCCTCCTTTCCTGGACAGGTCTAAAGTTGAACAGGCCCTTTACAACTCAGGGAATTTCACCTTGTTTTAGTCTCCTTTTTCTGATTATCTCTCCATCCATCCCTCTTGTCCTCTTCTCTCTGCTGTCCTTTGCAAGAAGGGATATGTAGGAGTTCCTAACTTACCTTCTCTATATTATTCAGTTTTTCATGTACTTCTTTTTATCCCCTCTCTGAACTAAATAGCTCCTGTCTTTCACTCTTTCCTTATATGGAAGTTTCACCATGTCTCTAATCATCTTCATCTCCTATCTTTGAAATCCACCTGTTTCTCATGTTTTTTGTTTTATAAAGGGTAACTAGAACTGAACACAGCATTCAAAGTATGGGTGCACCATTGATTTATATAGCTGCATTACGATCTCTACCCCATTCCTTTTGCTTCCTCATAAATTGTTTGTTTTGTTGACTGCAGCCGTACATTGGGAATAGGCTTTCATGGAACTGTCCACAGTGACATTCAAGGCTTTTTCTGGGCTCTTACGGGTTAATTTAAAATTCACTAACATGTATGAGTAATTCAAATTATTCTTTCCAATGTGCATAATTTTCCACTGGTTTTTACGCCTTCACATTGCCCAGTTGCCTTGCTTGGTTAGGTATAACTTAAGTGTTAATTTGACTAGGATGGCAGGTTTCTCTTAGTGTCCCTCTGTAGTTGGGTCTGCTTACAGATTGCTTCTGCTCTGGACCCCTTCTTCTGCAGCTGCTGGTCAGTCATCAGCTGCTGAAGGAGGTTCATGTGGTAGGCAATTGATTAGAAAACATGGGGAGGCATCCAGGCCTATAATGTACCCGTGAGACCCACCACTCCTAGCAGCATGAAGAAAATGCTCAGATAAATTGGTTAGTCTCTAAGGTGCCACAAGTCCTCCTTTTCTTTTTGCGAATACAGACGAACACGGCTGCTACTCTGTTTAAACCATTTGTGGTCCATAAAGTTATATTTTCACTTTTTTCTTTTAATCAAAATTATTTTTGTAAAGAGTAAGGATGCCATTTTATTACTTAATTCTTCAAACAAGTTTTTATTTTTCTTGTTTTTAAACCACGACAGACGCAATTAATGAAGGAAGTAATGGTACAGATACAGAAATGAATTAACAATGGAAATGAATGTCATCCGCAGGAGGGATTTCAAAGGAATTACATTTTTGTTTTAAACCCTCTCCCCTGCCCCCTACAAATAAACGACCCTTTTATTTGCTGTGCAACAGCCCCCAGGCATTGGAACCATGTTCACATTTGTACGGTGTGTGCCCCCATTTAAGAGGATTCCTGTTAATGGGTCAAAATGTAACCTTGATTTTAAACACTTAATTCTGAAATTTTATCAGTTCGCTGACATGAGGGTTTCAACTTGGTTAGGATCCAGCTTCTCAGCTGGCTGATTCCTAGCAATAATAATCCCAAGAGCTGGGTTCTTTTCTGTGCCACCCCTTCTTCCTTCACTCTCTGCTTTCTTCTAGTCAGCATGTTGCTATTGAAGAATAAAAGAATCCTGCTCCCTGAAATGCCAAGGTTTCTGCATATTTCAACATGCTGTTTCTTCTAAAAACAGAGTAGAGGTTTATAGCAGGAGACAGTGCATTGTTCATACGTGTATTAGCAAAGAAAAACACAGAGCTGGTGGATTTAATTTTAAGCATTTTGAAGTGAGCTGTAGTTCACGAAAGCTCATGCTCAAATAAATTGGTTAGTCTCTAAGGTGCCACAAGTACTCCTTTTCTTTTTGACATTAATGGTGATTCTTTTATTGATAGTGAAATGGACTGAGAGGGCCCAGGTGTATTTTGGTGGACTAATACACAACATTTTTATGTTATTAGAATTTTACCTAGAATTAGCCAGGGATTCATTAACTTGATCTGTTTCTTAGTTTTTTATGCTACTTTTCCAAAGACACATTTTAGTATGGCAGAATTCAAGCAAGTAACACTAGTTTTCTTCATGTGCAGTTCAAATATGATATTCGCGATTTATGATGAGACTAAGAATTTCTGGGAAGGCATTGTGTTATCACCATCAGATCCAGGCAGCTAAGTGAAAGGTGCAAATACATCTGCAAAGTTAATGGAGCCTTGTTTGTTTTTTGCAGACACAGTAAACAGTCTCCAGTTTGTTCAGCATGCTGGATGGTATGGAGAATGTAGATTTGTGAATATCCTTCTGGACCCAGTCCTGTAAGGTACTGAATGCCCACAGCTGCCTTTGAAGTCAGTGGGAGCTGTAGGTGCTCATCACCTTGCAGGTCTGCGCCTATCCTGAGATGCTGCTGTTGTTGCTTAGCCACACCACCCGCTTGCTCCCCTGTGGCTACAGGTGAGTCTCCCTTCCTGCTCTCCCTTGGCCCCGCAGTGCAGCCCCCTCCCGTGCTGGTGGCACGGCGAGCTGAGGCTGCGGGGGAGAGGGGACAGCAGGGGAGGGGCCTGGGGCTAGCCTCCCCGGCCAGGAGCTCAAGGGCTGGGCAGGACGGTCCCACGGGCCATAGTTTGCCCACCTCTGTATTAGAGGTTTTAGAAGCTGAGTATGGAGTATTGTAAGTGTGATCTTCATTTTAGTAGTAAGCCTTTCGGTTAACACAATCTCACTTCAGTATATTGTTTTAAAGAGATGTGTGCAAGAAAAGAAACACTTCAGAACATTTGATGTAATGTGTCACTAGTGCCAGAAGAGGGTAGACCACTTCAACTGAGATTTGCATAACTTCTTTACAGAATGTAACTAGTTCTGGAGTAGCATTTTGTATATATTGTGTGTGTGTGTATCTGTCTCTGTCTGTGTCTCTCTCTCTCTCTCTAAAGACTATCATTGTTCTCTTTTCATTATTAGGCCATTCAGAGCTGCTATATGGGTGATTTTTGCTGTTTTATTAATTTTATTTAGATTTATTACCAATAATACACATTTAAAAGCCCTTATTTTTCTTTTTCAGTTCCTATGTTAGATTTGATATTATTCGAAGAATAATAACTAAGGTTTTTGGAAACGAAGTAGTCATGGTGATGGGGATTACAGACATAGATGACAAAATAATTAAAAGAGCCAATGAGGTAAATATATGACGTTTACTTTGACAAAAACTTATAGTGTTTAATATACTGAGTAGTCTTGGACAACAACTTGGATTTTGTTACTGCTTTTTAAAATCACTGGCTGATTGTTTCCTGGGCTCTCAACTCATGGGAATCTGGCAGAGCTGGCATAGGTATCTCTGTGAAGGAAGCAGTGTATAAAGTTGCCCATCAGTGAGATATAGGTACAACAAATGCCATACCATTGGCTACAAAGGCAACCCTACTTAGTCGTCTGCTAGAAGGGCTGTTTTTTCAATACAAGGTTGTTTGGGAAAGTGGAAAGTCATTGGGGTTCTCATTAGAGTTGAGGAGTTGTATTAACCCCTCTCAGTCCTAGGGTGAAAATATTAACCAGTGAACTTTGGACAGTTGTCCATAGTAGCTGCTGTTTTACAGAAATTATCTAAATTGTCGCTATTCGCCTTGGAATTGGTCATTAAAGAAGATGGTTGTTCTGTAAATAATCATGGAGCTTCCATAAAATCAAGTTGCAGGTGCTCAGCACCTCTCAGAGGTTTTCCCGGAAGGATCTAACTGTACAGTGAAATGGACTGAGAGGGCTCAGGTGTATTTTGGTGCCCTAACACACAACATTTTTATATTATTAGAACATTACCTAGAACTAGCCAAGGATTCATTGATATGATCTGTCTCTGAGTTGTATATGCGCTACCTTTCTTAATGGCTTTCGAGGCCCTGAACTCAAATGGATCTACTCACAAGCTTAACGTGAGGGATATGTATAAGTCCTAGATTGATAAAGTTATTAACTATCTTTACTCTAGCAAAGTTTTCACTGATGGCTGTTGGCTAAATTAAAAGCTTTGTTTGTAAACTGCTCTCAGTGGGATGCTAATCAAATCAATTTTACCAACTGAGCATAGTGAATTGTCATTCTATCTCTTTTTCTGCTTGATAAAATTCTTATCAGATCATAAAATGTTAATAATATACAACTAAATTGTGAATGCTAATTATTTTTTGAAAGATTTAAATTGAGTTTTTTGGGTGTAAGACCTGGTGACTCCTGCCTTCTGGAACACAAGGGAATCTGTCACAATAGATCTCAGCCACAAACTGCATGTTCTTTTCCTGATGTGAGATCTATTGTGACAGTTATTAAAAAAAATAACTTTTAATGATTACAAGGAAAAAAATCTATTTTTTAACTGTGATTCACAGCAAATATAGAGAGTTTTCTCATATTGGCCTTGTTATGCGTTTGATAAAATAAGTTTTTGCTCATTCTTATTCTTTCCCTTAGGAATATTTTTTTCTTGATGGCTGCAGGCCAGTGCTTTAACATACAACCTACATTTAAAACGTGTATGCGTGTTTATCTTGAATTTTTTTTCATAAGAGCATCATGGTGATTTCTTTGCAGAAAAAGTTGACTTAATGTGTTAAAAGAATTGTAGTTAATTTGCTCCATTCTTTTGTCAAGATTAAAGTCTGTGCTATGAAGTAGTTTTAGCCTTCAGAACTTTTGTAACTATGCTAAACAAATCTGATGCTTTTATTCTATGCTTACCAAGTCCCATAAGTTGTATTCTGAGGGGTGTTTTCTACAGTTAGTAGAACAGTGGCGTACTGAAGTCTCCTCACCATTTTATGGGTATTTATACAGAGGAGGAGGTGTTAGGATTTGTTACTGACTGTCACTCTATGGTTAGGACTGTAGGTTTATCATACTATTGGGTGGGAAAGTCTTTAGAAGAGTTGTGGTAACAATAGCACAAATAATAGAAATCACACACAATTATTTAAAAATAAATCCTAGCTAAGATTTGGTGTGCCTCAAACTGTATTTACAAAACCAAGCCTCAGTTTAACGGTCTGTGGGAACCACAATACTTCTAGATTTCTTAGCATCTGCCTTTTCCGCATTAGTCCTCTGCATTGGTTTAGAGCTCCAGGAAAGGCTCTTGGTCAAACAGCACACTGAGCAGGCCAGAATGTGGTGCTTTGATCCCAACTTTATAACTTCTCTAGGTTGTTTTTGTGTTGGTTTTTCTTTTTTCTTCGGTATCTTCAAAACATTTCCATGAACATTGTCTTCAGATGCAATTAGCTTGCCCTTTATCCCCATTTGAACAAAGCGTTTCTGGATAATATATCATAAGGACATTTCTGCATTAACAGGAGGATGTATTAGATGACCTAAACGGCCTTTTTTTACATTTATTTCCTGTGATTCTTCCAGCTCGTTAAAAAAGATATTAAATAAAACTGATCTGACACCAATTCTTGAGAGTCATCCTGTAGAGTGAAAATCTCTTACTCAGTGGGCATTAATCATTAACCTTTGTTTTCAATCCTTCAGCCAGTTTTTAGTCCACCGGGGTAGGGTTCATATCCAAAGGAAGTGGAATTAATTTTGGAAGTAAGATTTCTTGACACTGTATCAGATGCTTTACCAAAGTCCAGATATAGGACATAATTGCGTTCTCCTTCTCAATCCAAAAAGCCATTTGTTTTGTCTGGAAAAATTTGTTCTTTATACTCTCATGCTGTTAATTGCTGTTGATTCCTTCTATCCTCTAGATTTTGAACCCGATCGTTTTTCAAGTCCCGATTACGGAATACATTCGGAGAGAGGCACAGGTCAATGAACAAGTTGAGGAAGGGTACGCCCCAGTGAGCTTGAGGAGCAATGCCCTCGTGAGAAGTCTCACTAATACTGAGATTCCTGTCGGGGGTGCTGGCTCCTAAATCTTGCTCAGGGATTCATTTGGAGCCTCTAGTGTCTGAAGCAACTCCTTTCTGGTTCCTAGAAAGGAGAAGAAGCTTTCCTTTCGTACCAGGCCTTCTCTCGATTGCAAGAGATGTGCCTCCTCTATTCTACCTCTTCCCCCAAACTCTTGGCTACTCCGATAAGTGGTTCAAAAAGTACTAAGCACTAGCCTGGTGAAAATCAGGCCCCTTTAAGATGTCTTAAATCAGGCATCCAAAGTCACCTTTGAAAATCTTGACCCCAGTGCCTGCCTCTAGTTGCTTATAACATTTCTGAATAGCATCTGCAGAATAAAACTGATGTATTTCTGCTCACCTAATTCTGAATGGCAGCAATAAAATTGAATTTTGTTCTGTTAATTTAATTCTGTTGCTCCTGTCTGCCAATTCAGAAAGACAGCCTTCCGTTTGTTCACATGCAGCAGATTATTTTCCAAAACCTAAGGACTAGAAATTTAAATCTTGCAAAATTTGATAACATAGCACCTCCACTTGCCAGGGAAGGTTTTGTTCTGGTGAATTTTTCAAGCCCTGGCTATGATGAGTATTTGAGACAAATGTAATATCAAATGCAAACTGACTCTTTATTTCTGTTTTCCACTTATTTATTCACTTTTGTGAAGATCCCTGTGCCTAGCTGTGAGCATTAAAAAATTGTAGATATTGTTGGAGTGCTACTATGCTTTACAAAATATTTGACTGTCTATCAGTTCATTTCCCCAATTGCATTCACATATTTGAGGAACAGCAATGAAAAGTTGAAGTATCATATTAATTTTTAACAATAAAAATACCCTGTGTGATGTCTGTAAGTCTCTGTTCTATAACTCTGACATATATCAGTAAGTGTTAGAAATGGCTTTATTGCACCATGAATCATAGAATATCAGGGTTGGAAGGGACCTCAGGAGGTCATCTAGTCCAACCCCCTGCTCAAAGCAGGACCAATCCCCAAATAAATCATCCCAGCCAGGGCTTTGTTAAGCCTGACCTTAAAAACTTCTAAGGAAGGAGATTCCACCACCTCCCTAGGTAACGCATTCTAGTGTTTCACCACCCTCCTAGTGAAAATGTTTTTCCTAATATCCAACCTAAACCTCCCCCACTGCAACTTGAGACCGTTAGTCCTCGTTCTGTTATCTGCTACCACTGAGAACAGTCTAGATCCATCCTCTTTGGAACCCCCTTTCAGGTAGTTGAAAGGAGCTATCAAATCCCACCTTATTTTTGAATGCAAAGTAAGCTTAGCATTGGAAGTGAAGTCCTTTCTGAATAAAAATAAAAGATTTGTGGACTTAATTTTTAGTCAGTTTCTATAAAAAGGTGTGGATTAAAATGTTCCTATAATTCAAACATAAATGAAATACCACTTTTATGCTAAGACTGTCTTTTATATAGTCTCTTTACTGAATGTTGGATTAATAAACCTTCCTTACTTTTTTTTTTTTAACTCGGGAAACCTCATAACTCTTCCAGTTAGCCATTAACTGACTGATAAGACTATACTATTTTGTATTATTTTGATTTTTGATTCACTCATCTGCCTCTCTTCTACAGATGAACATATCACCATTAGCTCTTGCCCGGGTTTATGAAGAAGGCTTTAAACAAGACATGGCTGCATTAAAGGTGTAAATCTTTAATATTTTATTTTTTCAAACTGAAATTATTATAAAGTGCATTTATTTGTTAAAGGAAAAATGACAACCTGATTTTTAAGTTATATTTTTAATTGACTAATTTAAAAATACTCTATTTCTGATGAATCGTCCTTTAAATAGTACAGAGTGAACATTTTTAAAATTCCTTTTCAAAATTTTTATAAGATTTCATCTGATCCCCCTATGTTTACATGTGTCTTTTGGCAAGGGAGAAATGTCTCAAGGAAGGAATGAACGGTTATAAGCTCTTCAGGATAGGTACTGCATACTGCCTGTGTTTGGGCAGTGCCCAGCACCAGGAGGCTCCATTCTTGGTTGTCTCTAGGCACTAGCGTAATGAACATGATTAATCAACTACAGAAAGGGCCTGATCTAAAGCCCATTGAAGTCAGCAAGTGTCTTTGCATTGACGCCAAAGAGCTTTGCATCTGGCTCAAAGTGCTGTCAAATGCACCAAGTAAATAAGCTAGGAAAAAATGGAGAAGTTCTTTTTTCGGTAACTGTTTTCAGTTATAAGCATCTTAGGTGTTATTTGTAACTATAGTATATGCAACATTTTGAGAAAGAACTGTTGTGTTTTTACGTTAGCTGGGTTCCTTTAAACATGCTGGTATTGTCACAAACTAAAGCAGCATATTCTTTCTGCTTCTTTATTTAAGGTTCTTCCCCCGACAGTATATATGAGAGTGACTGAAAATATTCCTCAGATAATTTCTTTTATAGAACGAATAATGGCTAGTGGACATGCTTATGCGACCTCCAAAGGTAAGACTTCTAGCAGTACAGTTTGATGTTAATGTGTATGCAAGAAATTCATTCTCTTCATTGGAGTTATAACCAGACCACTCTGGGGTCAGTTCAGATACTCAATATCATCTCTTCCTTTGATTGATAACTGATAAAGCAAATGCTGTGAATAACTTTAACACACTTTTTATACATGTTGTTAGCACTGTATACTTACATTGGTATACTTGTAATTGAAATGTGACTGAGTTTTTAATGTTGTTCTTTAAGGGCATTAACTGCATTATATAATTCCTAAGGAGAAATCCTGGGCTAGAAAACCATGGAACTGGCACATTCTGTTTCGTCAGAGGTTTGTGCAAGATAAGAACCTGGTAGTCCCTATGGGAAGGTGTGCATCCCTTATGCACTGCAGAGCACATCTTTTGCAAAACGGAGTGCGTAGTGGGGTTTTAGAAGCAGGGCTGACGATTGTGGGTGGACCGCAGCTGCATGTTAACTACACCTGTGAGAGACTTCATTTGAGTCCTGAAGAGTACAGTTGATATTATGTGAGCAGAAAAGAACCCAGTATGACTTTTATATCCTAGGGTGGGTTTGCAGTTAAAAAAATAATCTTATGTGCGTGATAAGCAAACTTAATCTGTAGTCTTTGAGACACCATAAACATGGAAACACATGCTCTCGTTATTGCAGTCACTGTCCAGAGCAAAATGATTCTTTTAGGAAATGGTACACAACAGATGCTTTACTCAGGAAAAGTGTTTATCTTTTCACCACACTGGCAAAGTGAATGCCCCCTATCTTTATAATAAATCTCAATGTTTGTTTTCTAACAGGTGATGTTTATTTTGATGTCAAGTCTAGGGGAGACCGATATGGAAAGTTAACTAGTGTTTACACTGATGTACAGGAGGAAATGGGTATGTTGATATGGACTGGTTTGGATCAATACTTTGTTTCAGTTAAATGTGTTTTCTGAGGCTTAACTAGCATGTGTATGAAATCCTAATATGAAAGGCTACAACAATACAAACAGTGCATCTCCTTCTTAGTCATAGTTCTTTTGTAACTTTAATTCATAGATAATATTTATTTAGTGCTGAAGAAGTTTTGACCATTTTTTATGCATTTAAGGTTTTTTGTTTTTTTTTCCCCCCTGACTTTACTTCACTTAAATACAGTTTTCTTGCTGAAAAATTGGAAGGAAAGTTATTCTGCAACCACCAGATAACCTGGAGAATATAAAACAATCATTTCTCCTAAACATAGGTTATCTTTGGATGGAATAGAGTTAGAAATATGTTAGGTGTGGGTCTGTTAGTGGGAGCTAAGATCAGCCTGGGCACTTATAGATAAATAAGATTATATAATTTAGTCAAATACAAGTTACTGAGTTCAATGCAGGGGGAATTGGGTGAAATTCTTCAGTCTGTGTTACAAAAGGAGTTAGACTAGATGATCTAATGATCTCTTCTCGCCTTAATGTCTGTGAATGAATCAGAGTCCATTTCTAGCTCATGGTAGAATGTTCAGGATATAATTTTTGTTGAACACTTTGTGTCCAACATGTCTGTCCTCCTGGCTAGGGAAAAAAATACAGGAAAACGGAAGTGTCTGTCCAAGAATAAAATCTGGATAGCTCCCTTTACTGACATTCTGAATGGCTTCATGCATTTACTCTTTTTGGAGACTTATCCTATTAACAAATAATAAATTATTGGCAGTTGATAGCGATAAGCGACATGTCAAAGATTTTGCCCTGTGGAAGGCAGCCAAACCTCAAGAACTTTATTGGGCTTCTCCCTGGGGAAAAGGAAGACCTGGCTGGCACATTGAGTGCTCTACAATTTCGAGGTCAGATTTCCTAGTTTTTTAATTTTGTGCGAAAGTGTGTGCCTGCGTGCGCGTGTGACTGATGTGGATTTGGTAACTGGAACAAGGAAAGGATATGTCCATTTGTAATTTTTGAATATAAACAAAAATAAGAAATTGCTGACTATAAAGAAAACATGTTCATTTTTGCAGAAAGTGAAACTGGACAAATACATTGCTGAAATTTTAGTATTTCTTATGACAGGTTTCAGAGTAACAGCCGTGTTAGTCTGTATTCGCAAAAAGAAAAGGAGTACTTGTGGCACCTTAGAGACTAACCAATTTATTTGAGCATGAGCTTTCGTGAGCTACAGCTCACTTCATCGGATGCATACCGTGGAAACTGCAGCAGACTTTATATATACACAGAGAATATGAAATAATACCTCCTCCCACCCCACTGTCCTGCTGGATTACCAGCAGGACAGTGGGGTGGGAGGAGGTATTATTTCATATTCTCTGTGTGAAGTGAGCTGTAGCTCACGAAAGCTCATGCTCAAATAAATTGGTTAGTCTCTAAGGTGCCACAAGTACTCCTTTTCTTTTTTAGTATTTCTTAGAATACTTGTTCTGTTACTGTAATAAACTGGAGAAAGCATTTGGATTTAAAGTGTTTCAATCTGTTAATTACTACATTTCCTTACAAAGGCTCTTGTGGTGTTCTGATTTTGATCAGTAAAATATTATTACAGTACAGTGTTTGGAAGTCAACTGGATATCCATACTGGTGGCATAGATCTTGCGTTCCCTCATCATGAAAATGAAATTGCACAGTGTGAGGTTTATCATCAGTGTGAACAATGGGGAAATTATTTTCTACATTCTGGTAAGTAACAGCTTAAATTTAGTCATCTTAAATTTTGAATATGGCTTTCAGCTTTTCATGGCATGCTTTTATGCTCAGAAATGTGGAGAAAAACTTATATACAGATATACTGCTACAATGACCAAGTTTCTGTTTTCTCTAAATTAAGGATAATTGAAAATGAATTTTACCTTAAATAATACAAATTGACTCTTATTTTAAAAAAAAGTTCAGAAATGTAGGAGTTTGTAATTGGATTTTTGGAAGTCTCTAAGTAGTTAAACTGCATTACCATGTGGGGTTTTTTGCCCTGGATGAAACAAATGGAAGGGAAGGTTAATTATTACTCATTGAAGATATAATCTCACAGAATTCTCACTCATCCTTCACCTGCTTTCCTTAGAATTTTGAGATGTCTTTTTTATATTTATTTCTCCCAGAAAACTAGAAGAGATTTATTTATTTATTTATTTAATTGTTGTGTGTATATTCCTAAAAATAGAAAAACACATCACCTTGGAATCAGAGCCCTCCAGATCTGGGGGAAGGTGAGCAGGGTAAGTAGGTGAGTCAGAATTCTGTGAGATGTCTGATTATAATTTTCAGAAGCACCAAAACGGAGATGGATTACAAATCATTCTTGGAGTCCTTTAACTGTTGGCATCAGGTGCACTGGGCTTGAAATAAAGTGTTCAGTAGAAAGCTGTAACCAAAACGGCAGTATTTTTAAATGTAATAAAGGGATTTGAGTTGTGGTAGGGAAAGTCATCTGTACCAATGGAAAATTAAACCTGAGGATAATGCTGAGATATATAAACAGATTAACAAAGAAAACCCCTCAGTGGTGTTTTTCCAACAGAGAAACATCTGGATTAGAGAAAGATACTGGAGTTCTGAATGTGTAATTATCTGTTGTTGACATAGCACTAAACTCTAAATTCACTAAATCCACTGAATTCTGCTGAGAAACTTTTATCTACTGTTAGCATTATTTCCAGTCATGAGAAAAGAAACAAGATTGTGTCTAACATGCTCTATAATTGACTTCCGTTGCTTTATACTCTCCTGTCCGCGTCGTGAAAAAGAAACAACTTCAAACAAAGATTTCTTCCCTCTGCCTCCTACTCTTTTTTACAGTCTTGTTTCTCCACAACTCACCACAGTTGTTGTATTGCCCAGTCTATTTGGAACTCACTCACTGGGCACTTTATCTTTAAATTTCCCCCTAAAGCTGTGGGAGCAGTTCATCAGCTGGTCTAAACTGTCATAACTCCATTGAAGTCTTCCTTTCTAGCTTTCTTTAACTTCCTCTTTGTGATCCAAACAATTTACATTGTCTTTGATGGCAGGGTTGACAGACTAATCACTTCATATCTTGAGGAGATTCCCGTACCCCTTAGCACAGGTGAGCACCAGAGACCGTTAAATTGCCATATCAACTATGATATGCCATTCTGTTTTATAGCTAACTGTTTTCAAACATGGTTTAAAATTAGCTTGGGCCATATTGATTTTTAAACACTCTTATCAATGTGAACTTTATTTAAATCAAGTATAGAAACCATATCTAGCCTATGCACTCTTAACTGATTTTAATCACAATTTGGCACCGTCAGCATTGGTCAGAGGGGGGAAAAATAATAAAGGACGAGGTTAGCTAAAGCATACTTCTGAATGTCCCCTGCAGCTTGGTGAGTGGGGAAATTCAGAATGGAATTGTTCAGAGGTCTAGTGTGGATGGACCCATAGTGTAGACAGCCTCAACCTCTTATTTCCACACTCTTACAGAGCTTAAAAAAAGAGAAAGATTGAGAGTTGGGTGACTTTGTCACCTGTTAAGACAAAAGACGTTTTCCAGACAGCTACCTCATTGGTTTTATCTAAATAGACTCTGTGAAGGGGCCAAACCCTTGTCTGACAGAGTCTCCTGTTTGTGGCATTGCTCAGGATTGTATAGTTCCATGCTTTTGCTGCTCTGAGTAGGAACGCCCCTAACACATCTGTGTACAGCACTCCAGATAACTTTGCTCTGCATTAGGCTTTGCCACTGCATCATCTTATCCCTGGTACCATTGTCAGTACCAATATATCTACCCTGTGTATTATGGTCCTCTTTCCCACAGTGATTATTCTGACTTTCTCCAAAGTTGGTGATGATAATAGCCTGATTCTGCATCCCCAACCCCTGCACATGTAGAGTACTGCTTCTTCATGCAAGAAGTCCCATTGTGTTAATTGAACTACTCATGTGAGTAAGGACTGCGGAATAAGACCCATAGTATGTGGTATATAAACATAGGCCTAGCACAACTTGCTGAGCAGTAGATTTAAATTCATGGGGATTTGAAAAATGATCAGAGTGAGAAGAAAGAACCGTAGAACTGAAATGCCCATAGTACAATTCTGCTTGGAGGAAACTCTTGTTGCAGTTGAGTATATCTGTAATGTTGGAGCCATAGTTGATCAAATATCCAAATGCCTCAACTATTGGTTTAAACCCAGTCTGTGACCCAATATGTTTGAGTTTAACTTTCTGAGATTACAAGTATAGACAGTACTCACCCCTGGAATCTTCCTGCTGCAGCTCTAATGCTAAGCAGTATGTCATTTCAAAAATTCCTGACCTGTAATCACAAAGTATTAGTTTTCAAGTCAATATAAAGATGTCCATTTTTGTTTTGTCTGTTAATAGGCAAATATGTCTTTTGTGGGACCAACTGAAATTTTAAAACTTACTAGCAAGTTCTTTGGGGCAGGGACTGTCGTTTTGTTTGGGTTTGGACAGTGCCTAGTACAGTGGGGTCATGATGATAATATAAATAATATACTGGGAATGGCTCAGACTTGTTTCATGTATTACCACCTGCACTGGTTAAATTGAACACTGGTTTCAACTCCCAGTGTAGAGTATGTTGTAAATCAACAAATGGAGATTGTCCAGTGGCAGTCTGTTATCCGCGCTTTATTCCCTAAATCCAGGCAAGTTTAGTGGTTTCCTTGGTGAAGGATGTTCACTACTTTTCAGTGAAGGATTCTAGCTGGTGGTACCCTTTCAGTTTTAGTCTTAAATGTTGTAAATCAAACTGTAGAAACATTCTTGTCTAGGAAAGAATGAAGGATTCTGAGTTCTCCCAGAAAGAAGGAAAGAAAAAAGAAAGGGAAAAAAAACCTGGATTCCAGTGAGAATTCAGATGACGATTCTCTAGAAGCCAATAAATTATATTCTTTCAGTTAAGAAATGCTGCTGGAGGAGGATATTGTGAATTATTTAGGACAAATGATTCAGCTTCAAAAATAATTCTGCTAACACTCTGGAATACTGGCAGGCTCAGAATCATAAGAGCAGTCCTCATTAGAAGAAAATCCCTGCACTGAGGATAAATCATCTTCTAAAGATTTTATTTTTAGACTGCTCAGCCTCTGGGAAGAACACCAAGCCAAAGTTGTGAAAATCCTGATATTTTAGATTCTTTAATGGAACCATCCTCTCCCAGTGATGGGATTCTCTCATATAGAGGAGTGGGATTTGAAATAATTCACATGTTGCTGATGACTTCTTATGAAACCATGTGATCGAGATACTCTGGTCAAACATTTAAAACCTGCCTGCCTAAAATTAAGCACTTAAATCCATACTTAGACACACACACAAAAATGGCCTGATTTTTTCCAGGTGCAGCGCAATATGAGTTTCCACTGAAGTCGGTCAGAGCGGCAGGTGCTCAATCACTCTGAAAATTTGGACACTTTTATTTAGGTGCCTAACTTTAGTAATAATACCTAGCTCCTGTATAATGCTTTTCAGTAGCAGGTCTCAAAGCACTTTACAAAGAGCTCAGTATCATTATCCCCATTTTACATATGGGGAAACTGAGGCACCGAGCGGGGAAGTGAAAATGATGACCTTTGCACAGTAGACCAGCGTTATTTCTTACTGCATGCTATAGGATGAAGGATAAATGCCTGAAAATAGGATCTTGTTTTGATGGCAGATCCCTTTTTAAACCAGTCTTACACCTGTGGATCCCTGACTCCTCTCCCACCCTTAGCACTGTGAATTGTACAGATTCTGTTTCCAGTTGAGGAGGAAGGGGTTCGACGCATTCTTCCTAGAGACCATCACCACTGATCCTTAATCAGCCACAGGAATTACTACAAAGTGCTACGATACTGGGCCCTTCTCTCCACATCCCCCACACCCAGGGCTGAACGCACGGTCTCTGTAATAGGTCCTGATTTTGTTTTTGTGTGTACACGCACGCACACACAAACAAACCTGCAAATCAGTATTATGCACTGAATAATGTAAAATTGGTACAGCCAATTAGACTGTTGAACAGTACAAGGAGCAGAACTTCTGCTGTCTAAGAGAAACAAAACATAATCACATCACATAATATCCTTTAAAGAGCATTCTGACTGGGGTATAAGATGAACACTGGAGAGTGTTGATTTGAGTGGGGAGCAGTAATAATTGGATGGAGTTCAAAGCAGAATTATTGTAATTGAATAGCCAGGAAAGTTCAATTATTCATATCCACAGTCCAGTATAGTTCTTACAGCCACAATTTAGTGCTGGATCCTGAGAGGAGCTGATCACCTATGAGTTGAATGGGAGGTGCAGTTGCTCAGTATCTTTCAGGATTAGTCCCTTAATGTGAACAGCTGGCTTAAGGCTTTTAACCACACTTTTTGAAGTGGTGCTGAGTGCTTTGTTCTTGGCTACACTTATAGCTAAACCATACTCGGCACCAATTCAGCTGCACAAATTCCTTGTGCTCATTATCAGCAATGGATGGTTTTGCTAATGTAAACAAGACCCCAGAGTACCGATATGTCTGAAGGGAACTCTATCAAATGTCAGTGACATTGTATAGCAATGTTTGAGCTGAGCTACATGCTGTCCCAGGTGCAATACATACTCCTGGGGGAATTCTGCCCCTAAAAAGTCTGCACACATCACTTTAAAATCCTGCATATTTTATTTGTCAAAATAACACAAAATAAGCATGCCGGTTTCAATCATTTTGGTAATTTATTTCAAAATACCTGTCAGCAAGTATGTCTGTAACAATACAGAAAACAAAAAACATCCAGGAAATGTTTTTTGACAAATAGATTCCTTACTAGGCATATTAATACAGAACTTTGAGGAGTTCACTTAAACTACAGTATAGAAATGTGTGTCCCACATCCCTCAGAAACAGTGCAAAGGCTCGGGGGGAGTCGGAGGTAACGGAGGAGGTTAGGGAGAGGGAAGTAATTTCTGGGGGTGAATCTGGAGGAGTGTAGGGGAGAGAAGTATGGAACAGGTTTTTTTGATGCGGGGGAGGGATTGTTAGGGAGTTGGGGAGCCTCCCCCATGAAGACCCTGTCTGACCCCTAGTCTCTCCCATTCATTCAGGCACATCTGCCTCGTCTCTGTCTCTGTCCCTGTCCCCGCAACTAACTCTTCTGAATTCCAGTGTGAGACACCCCCCCCCCCCCCCCCCAGCAGCCCCTGGGTGCCCCACTCTGTCATTCCCCACCTCACCTGGCCCCTCAGGTATGCCGCTGTGAGAAAAACAGCCCCTGCTGTCTCCCTTGCTGTGGCTGGCTGCTTTGGCTCATGAGCCAGCTGCCCTCTCTTCTGGTGCCACAGCAGCCTCTGGTGGGCGAAAGGTGCAATTGCAGCACCTCTCCAGCAGAATGTATTATTATTCTGCGGAGATAAAAAGTCTCTGGAAGACATGAATTCTGCACATGCGCAGTGGTGCAGAATTTCCCCAGGAGTAAATACGGATGGCTGCTGCCCCTCCTCTGCTCTGGGTCCTGAAAACCCAGAGCTTATTTCAGTCTATAAAATGCAGCTATTAAAGAGTCTAGGGGCATGTGGAGTTTAATTTAAAACAACAAGCAAACTGCTCGCCCACATTCAAATGCATCATCCCAACACACCAAAATGTAAGTCCCCCACTACCAGTTCACTTCTACCCTCTTAACCCATCCTCCGAACCTGATAAAATATCTTGACCTCAGTAGGCTGGCACTTTCAGGTTGTAGTGGACCAAAGTGGGCAGTAGGTTTCAGAACAGAAGTCCCTTCTCTGTAAGTCCTGTTGCCAACCTTCTCTTTAAACTGTATGACAGCAATAAATAAAACTCCCTTGCTCCCCACGAACAGAATTGGTAGTCTGTGCTGCTCAATGTGTGGAGATGGAAGGGAGCAGTTTATCCACAACTACTTGCAGAGATGTCAGATTTAGAGCATCGCAATTCATAGGTCTAAACATGATGCAGCCAGGACGATACCGTTCACATGATCAGGGTTTCCAAAGTGGATGTGTTTTAAGGGGCTTGCCTTCTGTTAATTGGGGCTGGCCTGTTTTGTTGGAGGGGCAGCCAGGGAAATATCTGCCTTGTGTGAAAAGGATGCAGTCCCAGATACAGCTTATTATTTTTGACATATATTCAGGCTGCCCCTTTAGTTCATTCTTCTCTGGTCTTCCCACTAACTTTTTCATCACTTTTAGCTCCTGAAGCATTTCTAAGCCCAGATCTTCACAAGGAAAACAGTTTCCAGTTAGCCTTACTTTGGGAAGCTGCTGGTAAAAACTGTTGATTGCTTTCAAAATCCTTGGCTCGCTTTCAAGTCCTTTTAAGGTGGAACTTCACTGTGTATATGTGATCTTTCTGTAATAGATGAAACAATGCTGGCAAGATGTAAGAACACTTAGTATCACCTGCTCCTATTAAATCCTAAGTTTGGTGGAGGTTTGTATGTCTCTTCCCTACTTTGAAACTTGCCCATTTTGTATGGGCACTGTTGTAAGGCAAAGCTTCTGAATTAGTTGTCCGTCTGTGTTACGCTTTTATTCCATTTTTGAATTTGGTTGGAAAATGCCTTGCTTTGCATGAGGATATTATATGTGTGAGGAGGCTTTACAGGCCTCCAAATATTACAGAAGGATGTCAAGAGGTAAGACTTTTTTTTATTATTATTTAGAAGTGTGTGTGTGTCTGTGTGTTGGCATTTCTGGTGAAAGCAAGCTATTTATTTACTTCCATTATGTTAGTTTTATTTCTTTAGATTAGTTTAAAATGTCCCCATCCAAACCTCTGGGTGCCTAATGGTGTAGGATTTGGCGTAAAGCTGTGGTTAAAAATACAAAGCACTGCACTGAAATGGTTATGACAAATCCATCTAAGCATATTCTACCTCCAGTTCCTCAAAGCAGAGTTTGCTTTTTCATTCACCTCTCATTCAGTAGCAGACTAATTTAACCATATTTTTTCTTCCAGGGCATTTGCTTATTAAAGGAAATCAAGAAAAAATGTCAAAATCATTAAAAAACTACATTACAATTAAGGTAAAATATTGTTATGAACTAGAGAAGTTCTGGTGCGTGCGTGTGTGTGTGTTTAATGTGCTATCATTCATTGTGGCCCTGATTCAGGAAAAAAATGTGGACACGTTTAAATCATGTGTTTAAATCCTGTCCTGTAGAGAAACGCTTTCCCCAAATTTCCAGACCTGAAGAAGAACTCTGTGTAGGCTTGAAAGCATGTCTCTCTCACCAACAGAAGTTGTCTCTGTTCCTCAGATTGGGGCCTTTGTGCCCATTATGTCTTATTCAAGCATATTAACCTTTAGTTATCAGTAGGAAACCTGCTCTTACTTAAGGGTTGTTTAGCGTCCTAAGGCCAAGGCAATGAGCCATAATCAAAAGATATAGTTCAGTTCTGTTCGCATAGTGAATTTGATACTCCTGTCTTAACATACGTGAACAAAGATACATATTCTGGAACACAACATTCATACCATCTATTAAACTGGTCAGCAGACAAGCAGATATGAATTCATTAACATAGGTTATTCAAACTCTTTCAGTCTGGGGACACTACTTTTTTGAGACTTCATTCCTTATCTCATTTATAATGAAGCAGGATTTGATAATGTAAACCCTTTTATATGGAACTGATGTATTTTCCATCACCAGTGTAGACGGCTGTTGTAGCTGGTATTTTTGTTTTAATTTAATTTTATTTATTTTACTGTCACTCTTCTTAACTCAAATAGACCTTTACCTCGTAGCTAATATCAAGTGCTCGCAGTGTTTCAGCCTGTGCGATCCTGTTAGATGATTACCGTATTAGAGAGGCATAGGCTCTTGCCAAAAGCAGCTTTCTTAGCTAACTCCACTGAAGCAGTTACTTCTGATGGCTCCTGTCTATATGTTTATTAGTGGGTTTAACCACAGGTTTTGAAGTGGTGCGGAACACAGTTTGTCCTTGATTACGTGTACAATTAAGCTGTGTTTAGCACCAGTTCAGCTGCACTCATTGCTGACATCCGTTGTCAGCAATGGGTAATTTTCCTCATGTAGACAAGGATTAAAAGGCTGTCTCAGCACATACATTCCTCTCTCTCTGCCCTCCTGGAAGACTAATTATAATCCTTTGAAAATCAGAGTGGAATGTGAGCTGCTTTATTCTTAATTCTCCTGATGCTGTCTGTGTACAGCTAAGCCTCATGTGCCCTAGGAAAATTATCCATTGCTGACAGTAATTTTCCTAGTATAGACAGGTGCTGGAGAGGAGTTGGAGGAATGAGGGTTAACGCAAAAAGCACAACTTCAAAAAATAGAAATAGTCGGCAGCTGCATTTCTAATGGAATGTTATGAGCTGAGAGAGAATGTTCCTGGGAAGGTGAAGAGAACTTTGTCATAGCAAATAGCATTTACATCCAGGGCAAGTCAGATACATTCAACAATAAATAACTACTGACCCAGCACCCCTCCCTGCAGTTCCCCAGGTGTACTTTTTCTTTAGTCTAAATATATATAGATTAGCCATGATTAATGAAGGTAATCTTGTCCTGTAGGTAATTTTCAGACCAGTGAACCAAACTTCCTCGCATTTAGTCATTCTGCATCATGAAAGCTAAACCCTATGTGGGACTTTTCATGAGAGTTCTAAAAAAATTCAAGGCTAGGATGACTATGCCTACTGCCATCGCTTTATCTCCCCTGCCAGTAATACACTGAACACATTGCAAATAGTCAGTGAGGCATGGCTTTCCTTTCCTGCAGCCATGTTTGATGCCCTTGATCAAGCTGTGCTTTTCTGCAGTATTCCACATGCACACACCTTCTGGTCTGTTAAAATAGCTATTCATATTCTCCCCCAAAATCAGTTTTGTGTGAATATTTTCAGTTTTCCCACACACCCGGTTTTGAAGAGTAACATGTTTTCCCCCAAAACATAGATTTGAAAAAAAAACAAAACAAACCATATATACATACATACACATATCCATCTATCAAGATCTTCCAATTCAGATAATCCAGATGGGCCTTGCTCCAGCTCAGAGTTTTAATTCATACAATTTATTTCCTTCCTTAGGCATAATACTCTCCTACCATACACTACCACAGTGTCTTCAGGCACTTTGAGTTTACTAAGCTATAGAAAGTGTATAGAAAGATAATTTAGTATCACAGTCTGATTCTTGATTTAGCTTAGCCTTGATTGCCCCAATTATTTCTATTTTTATTTTAGACACTGTACGTGCTCGACATTTTGCTACCTTCACTGTGCCACTTGCTCTGTAATATTGAAACAGACGCTACATTTCTGTATGCATTTCTTTGTTTTCCCATCTTTTCAGACTTGTACTAACTTCTCATTGCAATGCTATGGTTCAGCAGTACTTAGAGGGGCTACCAATTTACTACCTCTCATCTGCTAATTTAAAAGATCATGAATGTAGCATTCACTGTTACCTGCCACTCTTCGTGCTGAGAAGTAGACGGGGTTGTCACGTGGTTGACCATTTTTAAATAAACCATCACAATTTGAAATAGTTCTTTGGAAGACACAGTAAATTTCATTATCACAAGAATGAATTTTTAAAGCAACCTTAACATTAATCCAAAATGAGGGAGTTACCCTCTGGATGAGTAGGTTTTTGACAGGTCTGTATGGATAAATCAAGGTAGTACAGGAGAAGTTAACTTTCACACAGTCCTGATTTTCCTTCTATTCCTACATATTCTAATCTAATTATAACATATAAATTAAACTCTAATCTAGTTCAACAAATCCAACGTTCTGTTTGTGAAGCTAGCAAGACTTCAGGGTACCTTCCCCTTTCTGTTGTATCTGAATCTCAGCACAGCATTTCAGGTTTATTTTTCTCTTTGTCCTTCATACTGTGTGCTTGCGTGAGATGATCATAACGGTGAAAATTTAATTTTGAATGCATCTTTCAATGCTTTATATCGACAGCTGGCATATATCTGACATTGTCTTGTTTAATTCTGCCACAAATAAACTTTAGTTTAAAGTTGAACAATTAAAATAATCGTTTTCATACATTAAAACATTATAATGGCAAAACTGGATAATCAAAAATGTATTTATTAATCATTCCCAAAAGGCTAAGAAATGAACACAAAATACAGAAATACAAATCCCATCAAATACAAAGTGTAAAATTACACAATGAAGATCTGTTTAGACTATGTCTAGTATAATACTGATTGATTATTTGTTTGTTGATTAGGATTTTTTGACAAAGAATTCAGCGGATGAATTCAGAATGTTTTGTTTGCGCAGCAAGTACAGATCAGGTAAGAAGAAAAAGGGGCTGATTAGTTTGTCTTTTCACGCAATCCTCCAAAATACTGAGGGGGTCAGCGCTTCAATGTGTTGGGTTATCTTCATGTGGAGTCTAACTACGTTAATTCCCACACGTAGAAGACTGCTCAGCACCTTGGTAATGTGTGCTGATCTCTAACATGCTGGGAATTTTCATGCTTAAACAGTTCACTGACAGAGAGATCTTTTTGCTGCTTAAATAACTTCAGCTATTTGTAGGAGCTACACTTTTCCGCTGCCTCAATGGATCCTTGCTCACGTTAGGGGTATGTCTACACTACAGCGGCACAGCTACGGCGCTGCAGTTGTGCCGCTGTGGCACCCTAGGGTAGATGCTCACCTCGTTGACGGAAGGAGTTTTTCTGTCGATATAGTTAATCCACTCTCCAAGAGGTGGTAGCTAGCTCAATGGAAGAATTCTTCTGCATCTTCCCTTGGGGTTAGGTCAACCTTACTCCAGTGCTCAGAGTGCAACACTTTTTACAGCCCCTGAGGGATGTAGCTAGGTTGATCTGTTTTTTCAGCATTGACCAGTGCCTTGGTAGCCGAAGGCTCTAGGAGTACTGTTTATTCTTAAAATATTTCACAGAAAGGGATGAAGAGAGAGTTAAGAATTAGATCGACCTAGCTAGGCTGCTCAGGGCTGTGAAAAATTTTGTGCCATGAGCACCATAGTTAGGTTGACTTAACCCCCAGAGTAGATGCGACTAGGTTGATGGAAGAATTCTTCCAACCTACTGCCTCTTGGAGAGGTGGAGTAGCTGCTTGAATGGAAAACCCCCTTCTGTTGATGTAGGAAGTAACTACCGTGCTCAGCACAGCTGTTGTGCCGCTGTAGACTTAGCCTGACTCTCAGCAACAGACCTCCATTACTAGGGAAAATAAAGAGCAAATTCTAGAAGAATCTGGATGCTGAGCAAGCCCTAAGTGTGGATGTGTGCGAGGTTTTCTGCGGCAGAAAATGGATGGCATGCTCCTCACCTCAGGGTCTCTGCACCCGTCACAAGACAAAATTAGTTTTGAGCACATGAATGGGTCCTTGACATGCACCTCAAGGCATTGGAGCCCTGAACAAACGTGTTTGTTTGTTTTTATAAAGAAATGGAAACCCAAACTACATTATTAAGTCGTACATACGTATTTTATGGCTCAATAGCTCAGCCAAACTTTCTAAAGCTGACCCTGGGGTGAGGAGAAGTGCCGACTGCCCTGCAGCTGATGAATGGTTACCCATCATTTGCTAGAGCCTCATTAGTTCATTTACAGGATGTGAAGACTCACTGCAGTGAGTCTGGGCTCTTGTGCACGTCTCATCTGATAAAGGATAAGGACATAAGAAACCTTATGATTTGGAGTCCAGTGGGAAAAATGAGAATCTGCTGATGTAACCTACAGAAGCAAACGGATACGTGAATGACTGCTGCCGTCTATACAAAGTGGGCACGTAAGGTTAATAAGGCAGGACGTGCTGTGGGACATGGGACTGTTCTAAGGCCATGTCTACAATACAGAGTTATGATCATTGACAAAACTTAAGTAGACTTAAGTTGCTTTAATAATATCAGTGGAGCGCATCCACGCAACACTTCTTTTTCAGCTGAGCATGTCCACAGTTGTTGCTCTTGCATCAACAGAGCACTGCATTATGGGTAGCTATCCCACTGCATCTCACCACCCTCTGCCACTGGGAGCTCTGGGAATGGATCGCGGTGCATCATGGGAACATGCTCACTGTCCCACGATGCAGTTCATTCCATGCCATCATTCCATGGGCTTCATTTCATGCTGTTTTTCAACAGCCCTTGTAAACTGTGCACCCTTCATCTCTGCCTGACAGCCTGGATTCTGAGCTGCTGATCATCAGGTGATGAGTGTTATGAACACAACACAGATGGTCCTGCAGTATTTCATGAGCTGCGAAACAGAGTTCATCGGTAATGCCTGCCCAGCTGTCTTCCATGGAAACAAATAATTCAGGATTGCTGCTGGCATTCACGGACCAGCTTGCTACGGTGGACTGTCGGGATCACATCGTGGTGCAGGTCTGGGATGATGCGCGGTGGCTGCAGAACTTTTGGATGCACAAAGCCACCTTGCTGTGTGCAGAGCTCGCCCCTGCCCTGCGGCGCAAGGATACCAGACTGAGACCTGCCCTCACTGTGGAAAAGCAAATGGCAATCGGTATGTCGAAGCTGGCAACTTCAGACTGCTTACCAGTCAGTTGCGAATCAGTTTGCAGTTGGAAAGCCCACAGTGCGGGCTACGGGAATGCAAATATATAGGACCATTAATTGCCTCCTGCTTCGAAGAACTATGACTCTGGGTAGTGTGCAGGAAATAATTGATGGCTTTGAGGCAATGGGATTCCCTAACTGTGGCGGGTTGATAGATGGCACAGATATCCCAATTTTGGCCTCCGACCATCTTGCAATGGAGTACATCAACCAAAAGGGCTACTTCTCCATGGTCTTGTGGGTGCTGGATTACTGGGACCGTTTTGCTGACGTAAGTGCCGGTTGGTCAGGGAAGGTGCATGATGCAGGCATCTTTAGGAACACTTGACTGCATAAAAAGCTGCACACTGCGACTTTCTTTCCAAACCAGAATTTTCCAGTGTGGGAATGTGCAAATGCCCATAGTGATCCTTGGAGACAATCCCATGGCTCATGGAGCCTTACACGGGAAACCTAGGCAGCAGCAAGGAACACTTCAACAACAGGCTCAGCAGGTGCAGAATGACCGTTGAATGTGCCTTTGGCTGATTTAAAAGGTTGCTGGTGCTGGTTTTTTTGGCCGGTTAGATCTCAATGAGGAAAATAATCCAGTGATCATCGCGACCTGCTGTACTCTACATAATATTTGCTAATAGAAGTGGAGTTCTCCAGGGGAGGGCTGCTGAGGCTGATTGGCTGGCTGGCTGGCTGGCTGCTAATTTTGAGCAGCCAGATGCCAGGGTAATTAGAGGGGCACAGCGGGAGCCTCTTTGAATCAGGGAGGCTTTGAAGGAGTATTTTGACAGCGATTCTCAGTAGCGTGTCTGTATGTGATGGATTTGGCTAGGCTGCCATGAATTACCTCTGTAGTGCTCACTTCTTGAGCATTATTGCAAGGAGCAAATATTCCTACCTACAGCCACTGTGTTTCAGTGTTCACACTGAGCGATGTATGTATGTCACAAATAAAGACTCAGTTTATTTCAAAGACTCAAGTTTAATAATCGGCTAAAACACAAATTTTCAGACAAACGGGACATGAAAATGAGGAACAGTCTTGCAGTTAGGGCTCTTACAGCTGGGTGTAATTCCAGGTGTGGCATGCATGGGGTACCGTGAGGAACCGGGAATACGCAATGAATGCGGTTGGGGAGTTTGGGGAGGGCATGGACTGGAGTTCTGTAGTGGCCAGAGGGGGAGTTGGGCACGGGCTTGCTCTGATTGCAGGCTAATGAGGGACTTCAGCATCTCCGTCTGGTCCTCCAGGAGCTTTATCATCCGTTCCTGCCCCTGTGAACTTCCTTGGCTGTCCACCCTCAGTCTTTCATTAATTGTCCCCCTCCACGCTCATTTCGCATCTGTTGACTGCAGCAGTTCATGAAACATATCCTCCTTACTCCTCCTGGGTTGCTGCCTTACCTGATGGTGGTGCTCCGCTGGTGTGGAGGAGTGTGTTCTCAAGGGGACATCTGCAGAACGCAAAGAAATAATGAACAGAGACAGTATTGTGAGTGCGTTGACAGCCGTGAATCACAAAAGGTACACATACACCTCTTTCTCACTGTCCCTTGGCTAGCACACAGGTTGCCGTGAGTTTGCGGGGAGGAGAGTGGGCAAGGGAGAAAGAGCAAGAAGGGACAAAGGGTGGTTTGTGAAGGGGGGTTATTATAAGCAGTTGGGAGCCTATTCTGAATATTGGTACCCCTTTCCCCAGGCTATAGTAATCGAACCCGATATCTCATGCTTAAGGGTAACCCAGGACACAAGGGAGCATCTCCTGCATGCGTGTGACTGCAGACTGGTTCTGTATGCCCCTTGCCTGTGTGCTGCTCTGGTCCCTGCAGCAGTAATTGCCAGGTGATGCATCAAAGTTTCCTAGAGCGAGAGGAGAAACGAGGCAGCTCTCCCAAGGAACCTTTGGCAGAAGATTGCAGAATACCTACAGGAAAGTTTTTCCTAGAGCTCACTCCGGAGGATTCCAGAGGCATCCCCGTGTACATGAACAAACTTTTCTGCCCTGGCCCCACTGTGTCAATGCACTGGCTCTGTTTTTAATTTCTGTCCTGAATCCCTCCTCTACCATATAACTAAGTATATGAGAGCTCAGTCTTGTCTCACCATGTGCTATCAAAGTAAAATGAGCACTTCCTGGAGCTCCCCTCTCCTGCATGGTGTGCGCCATACTCGGAGTGCTGGGACTGGCTAGACCCCTCCAGAGTGGAGAAGAGTCCCTGACTCACTGCACCACCGGATGACCCTGCCGCCTGCTCCACTTTGTCCTCCGGCTCCACCTTCTCGTCCACCACTTCCTCATTGCGGTTGAGTCCACTGGCCTAGCTGCCTCCAGTCCCGCTGAAGTATCCACAGGGCTCTTGGCAGTGGAGGTGGGATCGTCGCCGAGGATGGGCATCCAGCTCCTTCTAGAAGCAGCAGGTCTTCGGCACCGCGCCAGAACGATGGCTTGACTCGCTTGCCTTCTGATACGCCTGCCTACTGCGTGTCCTTTTCTTGCCCCTTCTCCTGCGTGGCGCTAGCAGTCAGCCCATCGGTATCAAAATTCTTACGGCTGGTGCAAAGCTGCAGCTGCAGAGCCTCTTCTCCCCATGTACTCAGCAGATCCAGCAGCTCCGGTGTGCTCCACGTGGGAGCGTGGCTGCTGGGTAAAGCCATCACGGTCGGCTGGGAAGATGGGGTCGGCCTTTAAATGGGGGAGGGGCACGTACCTGTGTACCTCCAGGGCAGGAGAGTTCAAACTGCTGGCCAGAGCGGTCATGATGGGCATTGTGGGACACCTCCTGGAGGCCAGTTAGAGTGACATAACCTAGTGAAGCGTCTACACTGCGTTGCTCTAACTATGTAGCAAAAAGCTTTGCGATGCTCGTCGAGATGCTTTTATTATGTCGGCATGGCAGGGGAGTTATAGCGGCGGGAGAAGCATTTTCAGTGTGTACACCTCCACTGTTTTGTCGACAAAAGCTGACTTGTATCAACAAAACCGTGTAGTGCAGACAAGGCCCAAGATAAAAAGCCAGAGTCTGTCCCCCTCTCCTGAGTTAGCTTTGTGTGTGTCTGTGCATCCATCCGTCCCCACTGTTTAATTCATTTTTAAAGCTTCTTTTACTACTTGCTTCTGTATGCTGCCTTTTGCAACTGCTTCCGATATAAATTGCTTAGTGCAGAGAAATTCTGCCTGAGTTCTTTGTTTGTACCTCCTTGCTCTCCTTTGTTTGTTCCTCAAAAAGCTCTGTTGGCCTACATTTGACCCAACGATAGCTGTCTTTAAGAGGAGGCATATTCTAGAGGTTAGAATACAGACTTGGGAGTCAGGAGTTGTCAGGGCTGATTCCCCACTCTGGCACATCGAGTGCAGAAGGTGGGGGCCCGCAAGGATTTTAAAAATTAATACTGGCCACTCCAGGCTTGTATTAAACTCCCAAGGTTACAAGCTTCTCTCTGACCTTGGATGGGTAGATGCTGCCACCACCCAAGTGCAAAAAAACCCTTTGAAACCAGAAAGGCGCACTGGGGAATTCCTTCCTGTGGGGTACCCTCAAGCCCTCCCCTCCCCCCCGCCCCATGGAGAAAAACTGAGAAAGAAAAACAAAGGAAATCAGCTGTTGCCACCAGCTAATTAAACAACATATGCACAGACCTCTTAGGACACAAAAAACCCAATCCTGTTTTTAAAAAAGGTAAATTTTATTAAAAACAAAAAGAAAGAAAATACATCTGGAACTTAGGCTTTTGCTAGATTTAAAAAACTCACTTACAAAAATGAAACATCAAGAATAACCTTCCTGAGGTCCAGTTTAAAGGTTACAAGCAAAACAAAAGCATTTGGGGTTAGCACAGAAGAGTCCACAAGCCAATAAGAAATAAACAGAAATAAACCTAATCATGTCTTCCTTGACATTTCCTAATTTACTTACATATCTGGGGTTTCAGATAAGCAGTCTCTAGGTATGATCTGATGGTTTTTCATACCTGGCTTTCAGCTTCTCACAGCATAACTGCTCCCTGTTCCCCTCTTTCCCGGAGAACCATAACACACAGACAAAGGGAAGTTTTTTCCCAATTTTAAAAAATTCTAGCCCTCCCATTGGCTCTTTTGGTCAGGTGCCCCTCCTTTCCTTTTACCTGTGGGCTTGTTAACCCTTTACAGGTAAAGCAAGTAGAAAATAGCTACGAAGAGGAATTCTATAGCTAACAGGCTGGGTGGGTGTCCACAAAAGGGAGCTACCTCCCAGCCCCCGGTCCCCTTTATTTGTCACAGGAGTCTAATGGTCTAGGCCCATTAATGAGCTCCTGAAACTCTGAGATATGGACAGTGGTTAACCACTCTGCTTCTCTGGCACAATGGAGCTGTCCACCAGGATGATAAAGCTTGTTTGTTCAGGAGACAGAACTTTCTCAGGGACTTCATCCAAGGTGATTATAGACATGAATGAGTGAACATAAGAAAACAAGAGCTGCCATACTGGATCAGACCAATGGTCCATCTAGCCCAGAATCTTGTCTCCCAACAGTGGCCAGTAACAGAGCTTCAGGGATAGTGTACAGAACAGCGTAATTTTGGAGTGATGTACGCCTCTTCTTCCACTCTAGAACTAAACACATTTGAACTGGACTGTGCATCTGCACTGGACCATACTTGTAGTATAGGAGATAGGCATAAATCAGTGAAAAAGAACTGCTTTATTCAAAGTGGACTTCACTGTATTAAACATTTATCATGTGTGCTTATCTTACAGTTCCTGTGACCAGAGAAATTCATTGAGTAATCTTATTGGATAAAAACTGATATCCAATTTCTGTAACTTTTTTACCAAAAAAAAAAAAAAAAAAAGTAAATGTCTGATTTGAAAAACACAGTAAAGTTTTATTTTTGAAACCAATCTTAATGCGACGTTAAGACAGATTTTATTCGCCCACAAGTTGAGAATCTCTCAAATATAGAGCCAGATTTTGACCTCTATTATATTGGGGGTAAATCCAGAGAGATTCTGTTTAAACTGTTAGACTTGTTTTTGGATTTATATTGGTGTCAGTGAAATCAGGTCTGGCCTATGGCTTCCACCACAGGTTTTTCTTGCACCTACTGTTCATCTTTCTTAATGGTGTGTGCTTTTGTTCAGTGTTTTGTAGTCATACAAAGGAGACCCTTGTAACATGTGTGTTTGTGGGGCCAGAGGGAGGGTGCCATGGAAACTGTAGGGCACACTCAGCACTGATATAAGGAGAAGTACACTATAATAAACTATACTTTGGGTGTAAGTTAGTCAGAAAACAGGTATATGTGGCAAAGCAATGTTCCTTATGTTTAGGGCCGCAGGAGGCTCCCAGAGGTTGAGGTGGGTCTGATCTCCCCCAGAGCAGCTGTGCAGGAGATGGACAAGTCCTGTCCCTCCCCAGCCCAGCCGGAGCTAGGAGCCCCCTTTGCTGGGGCACTCCTACGAACAAGGGGACATCGGATTTCACAGGGAAGGGCTTATTTCACAGTCCGTGATGTGTTTTTCACAGCTGTGAAATTGGTAGGGCCCTACTTATGTTCAGTGGATATGTCAAGGCTCTGTACCTTACTCTGACTTGATTCTCTAAAGGATTAAGTTTAAATTCAGCCCTGATGTTGGTGGGTGCAACTTCCAGTGGCCATAACTCAATGGGAGTAGCGCCCACTTACATGAGAGCTGAATTTGGCTCCAATATTGCAGTGTAAGTTAAAACATGTATAACTTTGTGTAATTTAGGAAGATGATCCACAGCTGACAGCTGATGTCAGTGATGGGTGCAGGTAGACTGTTGCTGTCCATGGTTTACCTGCAGGTGTAGCCAAAGACGGAGTGTTCTCAGCACTATTTCAGAAACTATAGTTCAAACCTGAGCAGATTTTCTTTTCTTCTATCTGAAGCAAATATTTATTAGTAAGCCCTGACTTTAATTGTAGAGCTTTCACATGGGCTAAAACTAGAATCCCTCTTAGTGGTATGATGTTATCCCACATTGATGGACTGAAGATGATGTTATGGTTAATTAAACATGTATGCCTCTTTAAAAACAGGTAAGTATTTTGTGTTACACATCAGGAGATGTGATGATTTATTTTTGATTTTTATGAGTGAGTTGTATACTTAATTTTTTTGGTGGTAATTACAAATATGGCTGATTTAACTATTTTTGGGTGCCTACTAGATGGAAAAATTCAGTATGTGAAAGACTATTGTAAAATATCAGATTCTGCTTCAGATAGTTTTTCTCAGTCTTTGGGCCATTGTATTTGCTTTCTATAAATATGTGCTGTGCCATTTTTAATTACTGGATTGTTTTAGAACCATTAAATCTAATATGCCTAAAGATTAATGTTTTTAGTTAAGTTTGTAGGTAATTTAACAAAACTTTTGCTGTGACAGATAAATAGTAAAGAACTCGTATTTCTTGTAATATTTTCTCATGGCTCTGTTTCCTCTATATGTTGCACAGTATCTTCTGTATCATAACATCTAAATAAATTTTTTATTTTCTTAGCAATAGAATTTGGTGATGACAGCATGAATGACGCAAAGAACCTCCTTCAGGCCATCTCGTCTTTTATTAGTGATGCAAATGCTTATATGAAAGGACAGCTGGTGTGTGATCCCATTAGGGAAGATGTACTGTGGGAGATGTGAGTGCAAATATATATATTTGATCACTGGAAGATTCTGATTATAAGAGTGGTAATATGTGAACTCCTGATTGATTATGAGGGGTTAAACTTTGTGCCACACTGCATGTCATTAAAAAGCTGTACAAAAATCCACCCGGTCAAGATAAAGGGGGAGAGTGAGAAGCAATATCCTCTTCCTTTTCGCTTTCCGATTGCTTTTTTCCCCTTTCTTCCTTAAGCTGATACACTTGTGCATAGTCTACTGTGCTCTGATGCATGGTGTATATGTAATGTAGCCTTACCTAGGTTGCTTTGCTCCTCTTGAGTGACATAACCTCTCAATTGAATTCTGACATGGAGGAGAGGAGAGAGTGGGACATGGAGAGGACCAGAAAAAAGGTGGTATAGGGAAGAATGAGATCACAGCTGTATGGGGCATGACCCTGAAGACACAGAGTGATTTTGCTGTGAATGAGACAGAAGGTGATAGGGAACCAATGAACAGAACACAGTGATGTGATGATGTTGTTTTGTTTCCATGCACTTGTGAGATGGTGGGCTGCACCCTTCTGAATAGACTGGAGCAATTTTCGGAGGCCATAGGTAGGAGCTGCAGTAATAATTTGAAGTAACAAACACATTACAGTGCGACTGAACTGCGCATTCAAGTAGTGGAAGTGGGCTGTTCTGTAGAAGTTTTAGTCAGCATTTGCTTGTATGTAACAGTCATTTGCAAAGAGGAGTTGGTGGCTGAGGCTAGCAAGATTGTGGTCCTGAAGGGCAAGTGGACAGGTCATAGTTGAGAGAAGGAGAATGAGCTCAGTGTGCTGCTGAGGGAGCGTCTCTGGCCAAACAGGAGGATGTCAGCAGCTGGTGACAGTCAGTTGAGGAAAGTTAAGGCAGTCAGGTATTGCAGTGTTTGGGACAGGAGGAAAGGAAGCCGAAAGGGGATGTCAGTGAAGGATTCATAGGATAAATAAATTTGGGTGCCAGCAATGTAAAAGTGGCTGAGAGTAAATAGGTGAGTGATGATGTTAATGACGGGCAGTGGTAGATACACAAGGGAGAAGGGACCCTAGGGGGGCCTCAAGAGCAATGTTCTAACCTCTCATGAGCAATTGCCACCAGGCACAGAATGGCTACAAAGGGAGGAGCAAAACAGTTAGTAGGGAGCCAGAGATGCCAGCATAATGTTTGAGGCTCTCAAGAAGGCTGTGGTGCAATCATTCATGTCAAATGACGTACTGAGGTCAGTGGGAATAAACAGAGGGTTGATTGGCAGTGTAGGAGAGGGGGCCATTGACAGCCACACACTGTTTACAAGTTGCCATTTATCCCCTTTTACTAATAAATGCACTGGTAGCATTGATTCTTCCACTGGAGAAGAGAGGGCAAGAGCACCTCCCAAATTGACACCCCGAAGCTTCTCTGTCACAAAGGGCCTTTCCCTCTGAGCCAGGTATCGCACAGACGCAGTGTTTGGTGCCGAGAAAAGAGAGCTTGCTCCTGAACCTGTGTCCTCTGATGCGGCATAAAAAGCTCCTCGCTGACGCCAAGTCCGCTCTTTTGCAACGCTTTGGGACACCACATGTGACTTGGCTCCTGCAGACAGACCCACAGTTAGCGTGAAAGATGGACATTGTTCATGTAGCCATTGACAACTGTGAATTGTGATGTCCTATTTCCCGAGTGGATGTAACGGTTCAGTTTTGGATAGACACAGCTTTCCCCTTTTACACTGAAAAATTTCTGCTCTTCTGAGAGCTGTAGCATTGCCCATTATGGTTCAGATAGGAAGAAAATGACAGTGTCATTTAGATGACTCCCTCTGGCTGATAGATGAATTCAGTACTCTGCTAGCAACTTGTCCATCTTAACTTACACGTTACCTTCTCTTTTTTCAGACTAGCCAACACAAAAGCAAACGTAAAGGCTGCATTTGCAGATGACTTTGACACCTCCAGGGCTGTTGCTGCAATTATGGACCTCATTCACCATGGCAACAGACAGCTTAAGGCTGTCACTAAGGTAACCCATTAGGATACAGAGATCAGAAAATGACAGCTGTCTACAGTCCTACTGTTTAATTCAGACAGATTAGTTTATTGTTCACACACAGACCTGCAGAAACAAAGCTCTACAAATTGTTGACCTTAAAGACACACATTTATCGAGACTGCATCTCTAGAATTCTGTACTATTGTTTTATGTTTCACTGTGTCCAAAGCATGTTTCTCTCCTGCTGCCTCATATTCATAGGGAAGACTTTTGAAAGATACCTGAGGGTGTTATGTGCCAGAGGCTTTAATGCTTGTTGCACATACCTGTTTTCGAGCCCCATAATACCGATGAGAGTGGACTGGGGATTGATTGATTTTGTAAAGAAGTCACTGTTATGACCAGGATTTCCAAGTGCATGGGGTGGCAATGGCGGTTAACACAGCACCTGTTTTATTCAGCCTTCACAGTTGCCTCTGCTACTTGCAAATAATACATCCTGTCTCAAACTGCCCCTCTAAGGCTCCAGCTACCCTTCAGATCATACACTGGCAATTTGAGGCCCCATTTAAAACCTGATGCTGAAGCAGAGGAGGCTTTGGGTGGCTGATTACAAGAGTTCAAGGATGGAAATAAAGCAAAAGCACAGCCCTAGGGACTCCTGGGTTCTGATCCTAATTTTGGCAATGATGTCATCTTTGGTCTTGGGTCAAATACTTAACCTCTCTGCTTCATTGTCCCTGACTGCTTAATTACCAGTCTCATGGTTTTCACAGTTTGTTTTTACTGGGGCTGAGAGGGGTGAGGATGAATGTAGTAATAACTCATTTTCAGATTTTTTTTAAAAACCCCGTCTCCTTTGAGTCCTGTAGCAGCACCAGTCCTGGAGATCTGGACTTAGTCGCCGTCTTTCCCTTTCTTTAGAGAGCTCTTCTCCGAGCCACTGAGTCAGTCCAGTTGGTAGTTTAAGTCCTGGATAACCCAGCTGTTTGAATTCCAACAAAACAAGCCCCCCTCGTCCTTTGGATCATGTTGATTGTTTCTGAATTTCCTTTAATGATCAATCTTTCTGGTAAGGTCGTGCCCAGTACTGGCTGCACTATTCCAGGGGCAGTTGCACGCAGCTGCTTTGTGCATCTCTTTGAACATTACTATTTTCCGTGTTTTGTTTCCTACGGAGTATCTGTGTGTTGGGTTTTTTTCTCTAAAGGTACGTGGACGGTTGTTACCGCAGTGTGCAGAGTAGTACATACCTGCACGTCCTCCTAGCCCAGATCTAAACAGCAGCATGGATGGTGAGGCAGAGGGTTAGGCAAGTAGAGTGCCCTTACGTGCCAGAACCTTAGGAGATGTACCCTATACGGCTCCCTGTATGCCCAAGCAGTGCCTCCAACTTTTAGCAGTGTAGCCTTTCCCCACTGTCTGCACACCGCAATGGCAAGTGTGGACACCACCTGCCTTTCACTGCAGTGTCTAGCTACACATGTAATCTATAGTCCCTGTACTCTACACACACAGCCAATATATATGGGCTTGCATTTCCCTAAACGGAACTTATTTCATTGTTTGCTTTTTTCCCATGTTCCTAATCGCTCTTGATCCATTTGTATCTTTTTTTTCCTGGCTGCTGGTTCTAGCTCCTTCCAGTTTCGTGTCCTTTGCAAATTTCAAGCTATTTATGGCTTATCCCAGTCATTAATGAAGATGTTAAATAAAACCTCACCAAATACCTCATTTTGATGCATCTCACTACACCCTACAACTTAATATTTTGCCGTTGCCCTTTGCTAGCCAGCCTTAGTCCCCGTAAATCTTTTCTCCTGTTCTTGCCATGTTAATTTTGAATGTTGAGCTCATATTGGATAAATAGAAAAGGAGAAAGTGTGCCTGCATCCATCCGTGTTTACAAATGCTGCTCCTCGGGTGACCAGTACTTGCAGACAAATACTGTCAGGGTGTCTGAAAATGGCTTTCACAGTGCCTAACTCATCAGGACAAAAGGTGATGCTTGAAGCAGTTGATGTAATTAATTAACCTGAAAAACCTTCAGCTGTTAATTTGGTTTTCATTTTTCTTCATGCTCATAGGCCTTGTCTACATGGGAAAGAGTGTGTGGTTTTTTTTAAATAACCTAGAGCGGGAATTTAAACTGCAATAGTTATGAGTCCCTGGCGTGGACACTCTTATTCCCATATAGGAGTGTCTATGATTTAACTTAAAAGCCTTCCCAAATGACATAAGTGAAACTGAAAAAAATTCCACTCTTCTATCAGAATAATTTTCCATATAGGTGGATTATACTAGCATAACTAGTAAAATTTTCCCATGTAGTCAAGGTCATAGACTTCAAACTATATTGGCAGCTTGAGGCCTGCAATAAACCGTATGCGTAAGCCAGCTTTGTTTTTGTGATTTGTAACAGGAAGGTGGATCTCCTAGAAGCCCTGTTGTGTATGGAAGCATGCTTTCCTATATAGAGGACTTTTTTAACACTGTTGGAATATCTCTTGGAGACAGACAGGTATGAAACCGCTCTAAAGATCTATCATGGGTGTCATTGTTTGTATTATAACAACAATATAGTAGCAGCAGAACATTTTACAAAAATATAAACAAAATGTGGATGAAACTGGTGGTTCTGATTTTTGTAACTGATGCAGAAACACCGAGGGAAGGATCTGCACTGATACAGATGTAAATTATGTGGTTTAGAAGAGAAGGAAAATTAAACACAGATGAACAGTATAGAACAAAGCATGGGCTGAATTCTGCTCTTGAATATTCCTGCGCATCTTCTATTGCGGCATTGGTGCAGTGGAAATAAGTTTGGGGAGTGAAACAAGAATATATTTGTGACTGAGGTACATAAGTACTTGATAAGATCGAAATAGGGAGGAAAAGGAAACCAGTGAAACGCCAGAGCAAGAGTGCTATGCGGAGAGATGCTAAAAGCCAAAGGCAATAATCCAATATTATATATTTAAAAAATAAACAGGACAGGAGCTGTTCCAGGCTTGTTTTCCATGGATCCTAAAATTTGCAGATGCTATTAAATTCTAAACAGGGAGCAAATTTCCTTTTGTGAGGTAGCAGATCCATATTGTAATTTTTTATAGTGTACACACACGCAGCTATTCATTCACAAGCCTTTTAAAATCACTAACTGTTAAGCTATAAATTGAGGTGGTTCCTTTGTATTACTGTGTTAGAGTGGCTTCTGAACAGCTGTGTGTATGCTAGGAGCTGGCTGTAAGTCTATGCATTTGTCGCATTATTTTTTGGTGTTATACTGTATTTGGGGGAATCGTGTAATTTTCATGTAGGACATTCATCTGCATTCTGTGGCCTTTGTACCTAGCTCGGTACATGCTTTTCTAGCCTTTTGATGCTGTATCGGGTTCTCTGGGGCTTCCAGGTGGTGCGAGGTAGGATTAGAAGACAGAGAACTCTGTGCCTGGTTTCTCTGGAAGAGAGTTTGTTGTAATTGAATGGAAATGATGCCTTGATAAAGGGATGACAGTTTGTTTGGGTCTACTACAAACATGCCAGATCCACTGCCTTTGGAAGTGGATTAAGCTAATTTGGGAATAAGAGCATCCACAGCTGGAGTTAATCAAGAATAGCTATTCTGGAATGACTTCCCTGTGTAGACAAGCCCGGAGTAGTTGTCTGAGTTTGCCACCTGCCTACCCATTGTTGGATGGTAAAGTTTCTGTAGGCATCTCAAAGTCAAGTCTTAAGGAGGGATTTGGAAATGGATAAGATGCTGGTGCAAAGGTGCCTCACAACAGTATATCTTATTCCCCTTCCTATACCAGAAGTTACATTAGCATAAGCACAGTTACACCATTATACCTGTCCAGTATAGCTAAAGCCGTACAACTTTGGGTATGCCTGCACTGCAATAAGTGTGATTGCAGCATGGACTAGCAGTACTTGCTCCAGCTTTAATCTAGATCGCACAGTTCAAAATACCAGTGAAGACACGATGGCATGAACATGTAATACGAGTATGTACCCAGGGTCCCTGGCAGCTTGTAGAGGCTGCATCACTGCAACAACGCTACTGGTTTTAGCTGTTAGCTTGATAAAAGCTGGTGGAGGTTTGCCAACCTGTGCTGGAATCAGACTCCTGATTGCAATGTACACATGCCCTGTGTGTAGACAAGGCCTTACTTCAGAGTTGAATGAATACTGCTTAACTCATTTTCTGATGCAGTGTTTTAACGCTGCTGCTCTTGATTTATAGGTTGTTCCAGAAAACAAAAATTCAGCTATGCTTTGCAGTGTGATTGATGAGCTAGTGAGCTTCCGTGTCAAGGTGCGTAATTATGCTCTTGCTATGCCTGGAGCAACAGAAGCGGTGCAGGTGGAAGAAGGTACCATTCTAGCAAAGGAAACAAAACAGGAAGAGAGAGAGAGAAGACGGCAGTTACTGCTGGAGCGAGAACCCCTTTTGCAGGCTTGTGACAACCTACGGCGAGACCTTGCTGCATTTGGAATCAACATAAAGGTTTTGAGAAAATATTGTCTTTGTAACTCCTTTAGTAATTCATAGAATCCTAGCACTGGAAGGGCCCTCGAGAGGTCATCTAGTCCAGTCCCCTGCACTCATGGCAGGACTAAGCATTATCTAGACCATCCCTGACAGGTGTTTGTTCCATCTGCTCTTAAAAATCTCCAATGATGGAGATGCCACAACCTCCCTAGGCAATTTATTCCAGTGCTTAAACTGCCCTGATGGTGAGGAACTTGTTCCTAATGTCCAACCTAAACCGCCCTTGCTGCAATTTAAGCCCATTGCTTCTTAACCTCTGAGAATAGGACAACAATTTTTCTCCCTCCTCCTTGTAACAACCTTCTATGTACTTGAAAACTGTTATGTCCCCCTTGTCTCCTTTAATCTGCTCATGTAACATACTCTAATTTTCTGTTTTATGATATATTTAATTCTGCATTCTACTTTAAATATCCCTCATGACTACCAGTCAAATTGGTAAATCTGAAAACTCCATTACTGGCCTGGCCTGTTAAGAACTTCACTTGTTAAACTGAAAGTGCCTCTGAAGAGTTCATTTCCCAAAACTGCAATTGAATGGCTAGGTAATAATAGTAGGCAGAAGTGGACTATCATACTTTTTCAAAAATATTCAACCTCATGTCATTCTTTTGAAGTTTAAAGAGCTCAAAATTAGGCAGTTTATTCTCTTTTAGTAGCCATAAAGGAGGCATATTTTGTTTTGATTTTGCAAAAGTTTTAAACATGAAAACTGACTCTGATAACGTGTGAGAAGGTACACACTAAATATTTTTTTAAAAATAGGCATTACAGTATGTTCATCACCTCATCCAGTATACAGCTATCACAGAATGTGGTCTCAGCAATGTTTTAGAACTGAAGTTGCAATATTTTTCTCATGTCAATGCCATATTATTTAAACTAAACGGAGGAGTGTCCAATGTAATTTACGATCTGTTCTGTGAATAGATGGGACCACCTTTTTTTTTAAACTTGATCAGTAGTGACGCTAGATTATTAGAAAGCCGTATTTCCAAGTACCTACTTGTTTTTTTAAATGTAATCAGCATTTTTGCCTTTTGAGCTTAATACAGAATGTTTCAGGTTCATTTAGGCTGCTTCTAGGGATTTAAATAATTTAACCAGGTACAAAGTACTGTGTGTAATCAAAAACTTACTGGGTTTGACCCACTTATTTATTCTTACAGGACCGGGGTACTACTTCCACATGGGAAGTGGTGGATCAGAGAAGAGCAGAGCAAAGAATGGAAAATGACAGCTGATATAGTACAGGGACATGACTGGACTGATCATGTGGCAGTGAATGCTTTAGGAACCACTGTGAATTAATTTTTTTCCCAATCAAAAAAGAACTCTGCAGAAACTTGTATATCTATTAATAAATAGTGTTAACTTAAATACCTCTCTGCTTGCCACAACTTGATTTTTCCCTTTGAGAAGGCGTTGATCTTTTCCTGCATGTATTGTGAAATAAGCTGGTAGTAACACAAGTGGTTTTGTTCAAGTAATGCAGCAACTGTAAAAAGGGGATCTATAATCCAAGTAATTAGCCTATGAGCTGGGTTTGGCATGTTGTAAATGGGCTCTACACTTGATACTGTTCATATAAAAATTGCTATAGCCTGTCAGTAACAAAAGGGAATGGGTACAGAGGATAAACCATCTTCAGCTTCTGCAGGTGCTGTGTGACTAAGCCACTGCAAATGAAGTACACAAGAGTTTTGCTTTATTTGCTATATTTTTATTTCCTATGGAAAGAAACTTGCTACATTTCCAGAATCTTTTAAAATTAACTTGTAACAATTTGTATACAATGGTGAATAACAAAGTTACTTCTGTGTATAGTTAAAACAAAGGCAAATTGAAATTTATACTGACCTCTGATATCAAGCAATTTCATTTTGAAAAAAAAAACAAAACAAAACAAAACAAAACCAAACCCAAAAGGTCTTATTTGATTTGGCTTTACCTACAAATGTAATTTAGAAATAATACTTCTTACATACAAAAACCTCATTTTAAAATCAATTCAACAACTGTTTTAAAACTGTTTTAACTTTTTTGATTTTAGGAATTAGAGTTCAAAAGTAATTCCAAGGGGAAAAAATGACAATAGCTTCTGTTCCCCAGGGAAGTAGACAGTTTACAAACTGTCTTTGGTAAAACACTGTAAAGTCTTTTCTTAGGAGTAAACAACTGCTCTAATTTTAAAAGTCTTAGAACCCCAACAGAATAAAATGAGCAAACATATAAAAAACCTATTTTAAAAATAGGTTAAGCAGTTTAGAAAGAAACAAAAACGCATTGGGGTGAGGTAGTAGTCACAGTGCATCCAAAAATATGAATTATAAGGGCCGGAGCTACTCAGAACAGCCTTTCTGATTGAATGTGTTCACTGAAGGAAGTTATTACAAGATGTGAAAGTGCAATCTGACTAATATATAGGGTACTAAACTCTATTCTAGAAATAAGCTACTGGAAAAATGGTTTAAATGAATATGTAGCGTCTAATAATTAATAGTTTGCAAAATTAGTCCCTATGCGGTAATGAATATGCACATTGAGTTAGATTGTAGGTTTAAACCATAGGGCAGTAAATTGGTACTTACTGAAACGTACTTCTGACTTCCCCCCACAAATTAGTTTTACCTCAGTATTAAGCTGTACATCCAGAAGTTTAAGAACCCCCGTACTGCACAAATCTCTCTCAACTTCTGATTTATTCCTGCCTGCCATCTACTCAGCCAGCGAGAGACACGCACGGAAGTGCTGAGCTGTCCTCCTTGACACTAAAGCGCTGCCTCTGTTAAATGATGATCCACCAAAAGCCTTTAAAAAACCCCTTGCTACGGCCCAGGCCCGACCGCCCCAGGCCCAGCACAGGCTCCTAGTGGACTAACTGTATTTGACTGCCTGCATGGCCCTAATGTCGTATAATTAAATGCAGCTTTCTGGCTCCTCAGTTATTACTTATGCAGGCAATAAATAGCCACATATGCATACATACAGTAATGTGCTCAGAGCTCTACTCCAGCAGTTTGAGTTGGCATAAAAACACTCAACCGTCTACCCCCACTGACATTTTTGACCATTTAAATATCACTGGTTCCTCACCACACCTAGTACCTTTTCTTCAAAATGATTACATTTCACACACACACGGTGCTCCATGTTAAATTTTAGTCTACAGCAGATGGAATATAAAGTAAGTTATTTCAGCTAACCATAATTCCTACCTTTCATGCCAACACTTCCAGAGTAAATCCTTATTTTAAGGGGGTTCCCCCCTCCTCTACGTTTTAAAATGAGCCTCATTTTTTCTGAAAAATGAAGAGCAAGAATTTCAAATCAGCTATTGCTGCCCATGTCTAGGAATGGGCAAAGGCAACCAATTACATTCAAAATGGAAAGCAACTCAAGCTTTTCCTTTCCAAAGCGGCATCTGTAAAAAGGGGAAAATATGAATGTGGAGAAATATGAAGTGCAGTAGCTACTTCTAGATACAGAGTCTAATAACAAAATCATGACAACCATGGTGCAAGCCAAGAAATTCAGTTCAGCTGGTGGAAGAATTTTACTTTCTTCTTAAGTATCAAGTGCATTTTTGCAGTTCACACACACTTTAGTTATTGCTCAATAACTATGAAAAAGAACAGAGGAATACTTTCACTTTAGTTTTATTATATTATATAACAGATCTGCAACTACAGCATATTTCAGCCAAAACATTTTTTTGTATTCCAAACTCTTAAAAAACTATCTACATTAATCATTTTTTCTATTTAAAAAAAAAAAACCTACCTAGCATACCAATGCTGCTACAGCACTTGAAAGGGTGCATTACTTATGTATATTCTACTGTAAATGTAATTACTGTTGTTGTCATTGTTCTTCGTTTCCTTCCACTCTGGTACTTTGGCTTCAGGTTTCAAAAAGTTTGTTAAAAGCTGTTCCAACTTCTGAAATCATATCAGATGTAGTCATTGAACGTCCACATTTTTGAAAGGCTTGGTTGTTACATTGCCTTGTAAGAGAACAAGCTCCAAATGCAGCCACTAGAAAAGGATTTTGACTAAAGGAAAAAGGAAAAAACTTACGTTAATTTTCTTTAAACACTCTTACACAGGAGAACCTTGCACAATCCCAGAAGGTAGTGGCTTATGAAGATGGAGGATTGCAGTAAAAATTAAATTAATCTGGAATACACTGCTGTCTTGTTACTGAATTTAGCGTTAACATAATTTATATGCATGAAAGAATTAGTAACAGAAATCAGAGATTCTTCAGTGCTTCCATTTACCTTCTTGATGCTTACATTTTCTACTGTTATAAGAGTTTCTCAGTGTTAGAGTGAAGCACATTTATCCTTATTTACCACCTTATGCTAGTTCTTACATTTCCATATTACGGACCCTCGTCAGGCTAGAAATCCCATTGTGAATGTTTCTCCCCTCAAATACCCCCCTTCCCCAGTGATATAGTACTCAATTATATGAAAAGTAATATTAGGACAGAAGGACAAGATAAAAACAGGCTTGTTTTAGTGTAATGGGTGAGTGCTTAAGTCCATTCCTATCTTGTATCTGTGTACTGACTTTCTTTTTCCTGTGGGGGGAGGGAGGGCTTTATATTTGTTACTACCTATTCTCCCCTTCTTCTTCAAGTGTTTTGGAATGGACATGAGCAAATAGGTGAGTGCTCACCCCGAGCAGAGCCGCCAGAAAGTTTTTCCCTCAGTGGCATCTGTCAGGTTAGTTCTGGTACCCCTTGGAGTCATGTGCTCATACCACTGGTATAAAGGGGCCTGCCACCCCCTCAATTCCTTCTTTCCACCCAGGACAGTCATTGGAACTTCAGTTCATCCTTGCATTCCCCACAAGTACCTCTCTCAGTGGACTTTGTTCTCGAGCCTGTACATAGTTATTTGTAGTGGTTACGTTTCAGGTAGTTTGTTAGTAAGTTAGTTAAATTAGTGGACCATGCTTAGTGCGGTTAGCCCTTCCACAGCACTGGGACATGCCTCAGTGCCTGGGGTTTAAGCTGTGTGTGTCATGCTATAAGCTGATGCTGGTTAGTGACCCCCATTGCAGCTGCCTCAAGTCAGTGGGGGAGGCCCACATGCAGGAGCACTGCAGGATCTGTAAAGGTTTCAGGCCCTACACTAAGAAACACAGGGACACCAGGCTTAAGCTCTTCCTCATGGAGGTGGTACTTCATCCTTCCTCAGAGCCAAGCCAGGCCAACTTGGCACCAAGTACTTTGGCCTCAGTAAGAAGCATACCAGCTTCTCTTAGACAGATGCAATGCTGTTCTGCTTCTCTGGTGCCAAGGAAGGACGTTCCTTGGACTTCTTGGTACTCCCAGCCCCGACAGTCATCCCTGGTGCCAAAGACGACCACTCCTGCAAGGGACTCTTGACACCGCTCTCCCTATCTGGTACCAAGAAAGCAGCAGAAGAAAACTGACCAGGTGTGATCCCCAACACAGAAACACTGGCAGAATATGACCTGTGCTGGGCCACTTGGAAATACCTGCTCTTCGCTTGGTGCTATTGACTCCGGCCTGGGAAGGGCTCCATTGCGTCTGGCACGTTTGGACTCTCCAACAAGAGAGCGCCCTTGGACAACTACCTTGGTGTTACCATCCAGGCCTGAGGCAGCAAGGGAGAAGCCATCACTCCCAATTCTGCTGTCCCCCGCCATTTGGGAGTGGTCAGTGGTGGCGCAAGAGGCAAGAGCTCCCACGGCACCAAGACCCCAGGTGCCGTAAAAAGGGAGAGGGGCCACAATGGCATAGCACCAGTCTCCTCCCTCCCACCACTTCTCAGCCAGCACCAGTGAGCACCTAAACCAGTTCGGTTTCAGAGTAGCAGCCATGTTAGTCTGTATTCGCAAAAAGAAAAGGAGTAAACGGGATACAATTAATTTAGGCTTGAATAAAGACTGTGTAATGACCCATTCACTCCCAAAGTAAAACTATTTCCCCATGTTTATTCCCCTCCCCCCACTGTTCTTCAGACGTTCTTGTCAACTGCTGGAAATGGCCCACCTTGAAATTCACTACAAAAGGTCCCCACACCCCCCACACCCCGCTCTCCTGCTGGTAACAGCTCACCTTAAGTGATCACTCTCATTACAGTGTGTATGGTAACACCCATTGTGTCATGTTCTCTATATATATAAATCTCCCCACTGTATTTTCCACTGAATGCATCCGATGAAGTGAGCTGTAGCTCACAAAAGCTTATGCTCAAATAAATTTGTTAGTCTCTAAGGTGCCACAAGTCCTCCTTTGCTTTAAACTAGTTTGGTTAGCCTAAACTAGCCAGGGAGCAGAGAGAGCCATAAGCATGGGTTGGCCAGCTGAGCTGCCCCTAGAACATTATAGGGGCTGAGGCCCAGC